AGTTCTCTTTTCCATGAATCCTGAGCACCTGCTCTGGGCTGGCCCTGGGCTGGGCTGGGCTGGGCTGTCTGGTGAACAGGGGTGAACAGGGGTGAACAGGGGTGCACATGGGTGCACAGGCTGCCATTGCAAAGCCCAGAGCTTGAAAGATGCCAGTCAGGTAGGGGAACTGAGAGGATCCTTAGCTTGCAGAGGGGCTCTGGGAACAGGGGTCATCAACATATCTAGGGGAGCAACAGTGAGTGTGCATGAGGGGCGGTGAGCGTGTTTGCAGAAGTGATGGCCCAGCCCACCAATGTGTGTTCCGTGAGCACAGCACAACCTCTTTCTTCCCTCTCCCAAGTCTCCTCCTGTCCTACCTTATATCAAAGCTGTTATCACCCATGGGGTTCAGAGAGGCTGACACGCCCAGCGTTGTTGTGTCTCCAAAGCACTTAGCATGGTGCCTGTGCCCAGAGTGGGGACTCTGGCAAAGAGCTGCCATGCTGTGGCCTCCCATGGGCACCCAGAAGATGCATGATGTTGAGGGTATGTCCTGGAGGACCCTTGGTGCCTGGGTGTAGGGTGCTTGCCTGGGTACACCTACACATTTGGGCCCCGAGGCGGGGCTTTGGGCTGCCAATATTCTCACAACTCGGGGCTCCTAGTGGAGAGGTCTGTGCTGAGGGGTCTCTGCTTGGAGGCCTTTATCTCCAGGTCTAGGATCCAGGCCGAAGAGGCCACTCACAGACCAAGTGCTGGGAGGTCTAGGACAAGGGGCTGTGGCTGGAGCAGCAGGAGCCAACTAGGCAGGCTGGCAAGGGTAGCTCCGTCGACCATTCCTGCCGTGCAGAGATCTGGTCCAGCATTGTCGTGTATTGCAGGCAGCCACACAGCAAGGTGAGCACATTGCACAAGTAACCGCACCTGAGTGACCCTCAGTGATGGGGTGTGGGTATGACTGTCACTAAGAACCAGAGAGGCTGAGATTAAGATTCTAACATTTTCCCTGGTGTCTTACTGGGGCACTTAGGAGGCCTGGATATGGAAGAAGCCCAGCATTCTTGAAACTCTAGGTCAAGAAAAGGTTAAATGACAGGAAGAAAGAAAGAAAGGCTTTCAGGGCCTCCCTGGTGGCACAAGGGGCTAAGCACCGCACTATGAAGCTGCCAGCAGTTTCTGCAACACGAGTTCGATCCCCGGCCAGCCAGGGAGAAACCCACATGGCGCAGCAGACCTCTCCTGTCTCATCCACTGCTCCCCTCAGCAGTGTATTTCAGTAGATCTGCCTGTTCTACTCCCCACTCTGTCTCTGGTGAATCCCCTCACCCCCCACATCTCTGGCCCATACCTCAGCTCTTGTATGCATAAATAAATAAATCTTTAAAAAAAGAAAGAAAAAAAGGCTTTCTAAGGAAGAGGTAGAAACGCTAGGGTGTCTGTGGGGGAGACAGACACAGGAGAGCCAGCCACCTCTGGGGGTGGGGGGAGCCATGAACAAAGAAAGTGGAGGGAGTTGAGAATATTTTCAGAAGTGCAGCCCAGAAGCCCAGCCAACTTGCCTGCCTCCTCACTGGCCTCCTGCACCTCTGCTGGGTCACCTCTGCACTCACTGCTCACCAGGGCAGCCTGGGCAGTGCCAACCTCGGTAAGCTCTTCTTTCTCATCTGCCTTGATTCCTGTAAAATGTGAGAAGACTCAGTGACCAGAACAACAGCCGCAGGGAAGCCGCGTTAAGACACATGTTTTTTTTCCTGGATCAGATTAGTAAAGATCAAAAACTTCAATAACACAGTGTGTGGTCAATGCAACAGGGAAGCAGCAGCCACGTGCTTTGCTAACAGGAGGTAGATTGGCACATCTCTGTGGAGAATAGCTAGAAATTTCCATTAAAAGCACAAGTACACAAACTTCGTACTGACTTAGCCATTCTGCTTCCAAGGAATTCAGCTGAGAGTTTCTCCCTACTTCCCCATTTATAAATATTGCAGTATTGTTTGTTAGAGTAAAAGACTGGAAATAATGAAATGTTCATCGGCAAGAGATGGTTTCAATAAACCAGCACATCCCTATGATGGAATACTACAGAGCTGTGAAAAAAAAAATTCAGGAAGCTCTTTCTGAACGGATATAGGATAATCCCCAAGACAAATTGTTAAGTAGGAAAAAAAGAGCAAGCTGAGGAACTGTGTGTGCTCTCCTCTGTGACAAAGGGGGCCAATAAATAGCCATAATTTATTTTTAAATTTTTTTTTTATTTTTAAAGATTTAGAGCTGGGGTACAGGCCAGAGGCATGGGGAGGGTGAGAGGACCCACCAGAGGCAGAGCAGGGAGCAGAACAGGCAGACGACAGAAATACATTGCTGAGGGGAGCAGTGGGCGAGACAAGAGAGGTCTGCCTCGCCATGTGGGAATCTCCCTGGCCGGCCAGGATCAAACCCGCGCTGCAGAGGCTGCAGACAGCTGCACAGCGCTGCACTCAACCCACTGCGCCACTGGGGAGGCCCAATAGCCATACCTTATGATTGCACTCAGAAAATTCAGCCCCTCAAGAAACAGAAACTCGGGGGGCTGGAGAGAGGAATAGGAGGGAGACTTTTCAAGTATCACCCATGTGCTTTTTGAATTTTTAGCCCCAAAATAAGAAAGTTAATAAAAATCTTTTAAAAGCTGTCCTCTTGATAATGCCATATTCCTATTTATTCCCCTGCCCTTGGCTAACTTCTATTCCCCTGGGCAGAACGTCTTGGAAGAGAAGTCTCTCTGCAGAGACAGGAGGCCAGAGTGTGAGTCCTGGTTACATGGCTGACCCACACGGACTGCAGGCAGGGCACTCACTCTCTCTGGTTAGTATATTGGTGACACCCAGACAGTGTCCCATCTACATTCTGTGGCTCCTGCCAGACCGGCACCCTGGAGGGCAGGCACCACGTCTCCTTGCCCTGTATTGAATTCACTGTACCCACCTAAACTGAGTACCTACTACGTGCCAGATTCTGGGGTCTCCATTTCTTGTCCTCCACCCCCCACCCGGTGCTGGCATGGGAGCCAGGATGCTTTGGAGTTCAGGCTCACTGATGAGGAGTGGATGGTGAACGGACAGGTAGGGACAGACGGTGGGTGAATAGATTCCTGGGTGAACGTGGATGCATGGCTCTTCAGGCAACAGCCTTTCTTTGACCCCAGAACCTTCTCCACTTCTACCACCCCTTCTTTTCTCCCCTCTGTAGCAAAGGTACTGGAATAAAAGTCTATTCTCGGGCCTCCCCTGGTGGCGCAGTGGTTGAGCGCTGGGCTGTGAGGCTGCCTGCAGCCTCTGCAGCGCCGGTTTGTTCCCCTGCCGCCGGCGAGGGTCCCACAAAAAAAAAAAAAAGTCTATTCTCACAGTCACAGTCTTTAATTCCTCTTATTTCTTAATTCCATCCCAGCCACACTCCTAACTGCCCACCATATACCACCCCCACTGAAATTGCTCTTGGCAAGGTTACCATGCTCCTAAATCCGAGGGTCAACGCTCAGTCTTCATCTTCTTTTTTTTTTTTTTTTTAAAGATTTATTTATTTATTTATTTATACATGCACTGGGTACAGTCAGAAGCGCGGGAGGGTGAGACAATTCACCAGAGCCAGAGCGGGGAGCAGAGCAGGCAGAAGGACCGAAGTACACTGCTGAGGGGAGCAGCGGGCGGCAGGAGAGGTCTGCGCGCCATGTGGGACCCTCCTCCGGGGGCCAGGGAGCAGCCAGTGATGCAGAGGCTGCAGGCAGCCTCGCAACCCAACTCTCAACCGCTGCGCCATCGGGGAGGCCCCAGTTTTCATCTTCTTGACTGATCAACAGCTTGGACACAGATGGCCACTCCCCGCTCCCTGAGACACCTCCTCTATGATGAGACACCTCCTCCATGATGCCTTCAGCGACACAGTCAAACTCGAAAGTCTGCTCTTCCCCAAGGCACCTTGCTCATCTCAGCTCCACACTTGCAAGAGCCTTGGAGACATCTTGGACACACCCTCTCCCTCATACTGCACATCTGAAACATCATTCCATTGGCTTCACCTTTTAAATACACCAAACCCAATCCCATCTCACCACCTGCACAGCCCTAGCCCTGCTCTGAGCCACCGCAGGTTCTCACCTGAATTATTGCAACATCTGCTCCCTTCTCCCGAGTCCTTTCAAAAACCTCAAAGCTCCAGATGGTCTGGATCCCCGCCTTTGTGACCTCATCTCCCACCACCTTGCCTTACTTGTCCCACTGTGGCTACACGGACCCCCAATGCTGGCACCCCAGCCAACCCTGGAGCTTTGCATGAGCCACTCCTCCTGCCCAAACAGTGTGTCCTCCAGACAGTCTCACGGCACCCCCTGGCCACCCCACTCACTGCAGTCACGGCCTCCACCAGGCCCTCAGGCCTTCTCCAGTTGCCCTCTATCTTTTCTTAACTTTTCACCCTAGCACCTTCATTCTCTAGCATACCTTATGGTTTAAGTATTTATTATTTATGTCTTGAATCTTCTCTTTCTACTGGCAAGTAAGCACCATTTTTATCTGTTATCATCACTGCAGTATCCCCAATATTTAAAACTGTCTGGCAAATAGTAGATACTGAGTAAATACTTGTTGAATGAATACGGTTTGATGAATGCTGGAAAGATATGTAGGTGGATGGATGGATGCCTGGTTGATAGATGCTGGTCGAGGGAGGGTACATGGAAGGATGAAGAAATAATAGGATAAAGTTGAATGGGGAGAGGAATGGGGGGCAATGGGAAGGAATGGGTTATGAGTAAATGGTAAATGGATGGACGAGAGATGAATGAATATATTACTGGGCACTGACCGCGCGCCAGACAGTGTACCAGGTGCTGGTGAGACTCTGATAAGCCAAGTGGGCAGATGCCCTCCCTAAGGGAGTTTAGTTTAGGGGGGAAGACAGACACTAAAATATAATTCTAAATTCTAAATTCTAACATGTGCTGTAAAGGAAAAGAATAGTACGTGCTGAAAGAACACAGTGGTTGGGTGATAGGAAAACGGGCATGAATGGGTAGGTGGAGGAGGTCAGGACCTGGGCTGGCTGTTTACCTTGCCCACCTGGCTGCCCCGCACACCCTCCATATCCAGACCTGGGCCTCCCCCCACCCCTGCATAGCTCTAACCTCACTGTCCTCTCCTTGCTCTGACTCAGCACCTGCCCTGGATCCAGCCCCAACAGCCCTACCTGATTCCACCTCCGGTCCCCACCCTGCTGAGTCACAGCCTTGGGCTAGTCAGGGAACAGCTCCAGGGGGCCCCCAGTTCATCCAGCCTTTGGGTTACCCTCAGCCTGGAAGGGTGTGAAGTGACAAGAGGGGGATGCCAGCAGGTCCTAAGCGCTTCAAGTCTGAGCAGGCAATCTTGATTCTGGAGAAAGTATCCAGACTCGGCGGGGGCCAGAGCTGGGGTTTACCTGGGGCCTGGGGTCAGGGGCAATCAGCTAGAGCTTTGTTTGTCTGCAGAGGTGCCCAGTCAGTGACCAAGTCAGGGCTCGGTTTGGGGGCGGAGTCAGGATTTCACCATGGCTGAGGGCAGTGGTAAGTCAGCATTCAGTCGGGGATTGGGGCTCAGTCTGTGGCCAGAGTCAAGGATCAGGGCTCAGTCAGGGTCTCGGGTACTTGGTTCCTCCTTCTCCAGGGAAGCGCTGCCAGGTGGGGATACCCGGACTCCTGAAGGAGCACCTTCCAGGCTAAAGTTTCATTGCCTGCCCCAAACCCTACCTACTATCCTCTCTACTCCCCAGATCACACCTTGAAGGCCAGACCTGACTCAGTGTCCCCAATAGGGACATAGGCCTAATACTTTGGCACCCCAGGAGGGCAGGAGGGAATAAGGGCTAGGGGTCAGGACTCCGTGCCGAACCAGGAGGACCTTGCGCAAGGCTTTCTGATGCAACTGGCTGTTGGCTGGACACATTGGCCGCCCCCACCCCCACCTCACAAGCTTTTCTCAGAAAGGGAAGGGCTGGGCAGAGGCCTGGACTGAACACACAAGCCCTTTCCTTCCCTCGCCCTGAGGGCTTCAGGTCCAGCAGGAGGCAGGCAGGAAAGAAGGCATCAGGGCAGGAACCAGATAACTCAGTAACTCCAGTGTAAGGAGGGGATGGATCTGGATGGCTTCCTTCCCCCAGCTGGAAGGTAAGAGAAAGAAACAGAATCCCTGGAAGTGTAGAGAATCTCCCCCCCATCCCCTACAAACACAAAGCAGCAATTATGTGGCTGAGCCTAGAGAGGGACTGGTGGCTGCCCAAGGCCACCTGACTGTCAGATGCAAAGTCAGATCCAAACCTAGCTTTCTTCCTGCAGGTCTTCAGGCACAGCTGCTGCTTGAGCTCCTCCAACCACACAGAGAGGCCCCCTTGCCTTGGAGGAGGGCCTGGGACTTCCCCGAAACTTTTACTCAATCTCTTTGAGGCTCCTGAAGTGCTGGAACTGCACGAGCTTGAACCACACAGACCTGGGTTCAACCCCCGGCCCCCGACTTGCTGTGTGATCCTGGGCAAATTACTCTCCCTCTCTGGCACCTGGTTTTCTCACTGGCCAAAATGGGCATCAATTCATCCTTAGCTCACAGGGTTGTGGTCAGGAATTCACGAGAAAGCAGCCAGGACTGCCATGTGACTGACACCCATCACTCACTTGAGATGGAAATTGTCTATCTCAAACTTCACCCTCAGCTCTCAAGGGGTAAGTGTGTGGGGAGGCGAGGAAGCAGGGGGAGTGAGAGGGCAGCTGGGCCCCGTGGAAATACTGCCGGCCACTTGTCAGGTGCTTTTGTGTGCAGGGACTTCCCAAGCACTTGACCTGCATTAACTCATTGAATCCTCCATTGAATCAAACAACAGTCCCCAGAAACAATAAGCAGTTCCATAACCCTAACGGAAGGGTATTGCTGTTCATTCCAAATTACAGATGAAGCTCTGGCTCTCAGAGTAGCTGTGTGACTTGCCAGCGGCATGCAACTGGGACAGGCCAAGCAGGTGGCATATAGCAGTAGACAAAGACCACCTGGGCTTTGAACCCCACCCACAGCCCCCTCATTCCATAGACCAGTGATGTCACCTCATTGAGCCCTAGTTTCCTCATCTGTCTCCAGAGATGAAAAGGCAAGTTGGTGTGGAGGCCTGAGGAGGCAGTGAGCTGATGTAAGGGAAGCTCCCACACAGGGCCCTGCCCCATCCACGGGCCAAGAGTCGCATTCTTTCTGAGTTGCAAATCTGGGCCCACAGGGCAGACTCAGAAGGCTCAGGGGGCTATGGTTGCCCCGGGCACTCCCCGGGCAGATGCTGCATAAAATGCACAGGCCTCCCATGGATGATGAAGGATTTCTGCAAAGCCCTTGAGAAGCCCCAGAGAAAAGGGAGGTGCCCAGTCTCCTAATAAGGGCTTCCCAAGAGGAGCTCAAGGCTAGAGCTGCAACTCTTGAATCACCCACAGTCTTTCCCAAATCGATTGGCCCCAACCCATTCACCTACCTGTATAACATGTCCTGTTTTATTTTTTTTTTCTTTCCGTCAGCTCATTTTTAAAACTTAGGCAAATTTATTTTGAATGGAATATTGAAAGCACTGGTCTCAAACGGAAAACCACCATCGCTTGCCAGAAGGAGGAATCAGCTGTAAACTTGAATACAAGGGAAATAAAACAAGATTCTTAATTTGAGCTACATCCTGTTTGTAGCTGGAGCCTCTCAACTGAGCCCTGTCCTCTCTTCCTTCACAAGTGACATGTTCAAGACATGAAAGCTGTTAAGACTTTCTTTGAGTAACTGGAGGTACAGGAAGAAAAATCAAAAGGAAATACGTGTATAACAATATAATTCAACGATACTTCATAGAGTCCTGAGACCCTAAGACCATCCAGCATCCTACCATTATATGATTTTGGAAAACACCAACCTAATCTAACCCTCTCTTCCTATTTTTCAGATCAGAAAATGAATGCCCCAAGAGGGGAGGTGATGAGCCCATGATCTCACAGGGTCTGTCCAAGGCACCTTTTCACTTTTGTGGGGAGAAGTTATAAAGAAGGCCCTCCCTGGGGGCCTAGGGGTTAAGACTCAGCGCTGTCACCACTATAGCCTGAGTTCGATCCCCAGCCAGTGAGCTACCCACATGGCACGGCAGACCTCTCCTGTCTCGCCCGCTGCTCTCCTCAGCAGTGTATTTCAGTCGATCTGCCTGTTCTGCTTCCCACTCTGTCTCTGGTGAATCCTCTTAATCCCTACATCTCTGGCCTGTGCCCCAGTTCTTCTATGCAAAAATAAATTAAAAATTTAAAAAAAAATCTTAAAAAAAAAAAGTTGTAAAGAGGAAAGTTGTGAGGACCCCATGATGGGATTTCAGACACTCAGCAGTCAAAGTAAAAAGGCAGAAGGTGGGCATGGCCCTGATTTTAGCAATCCAGAACCCCCACCCTGGAGGTCATGGTGCTGAGGTCAGACACTGGGCTCACAGGCCCAGGGAAGGTAGGAAGGCAGCCTGCGTGGCTCTTCCCCTTGGTAGCGGACTTTCTGAGCTTGGAGAGAAGGAAGCTCATGAACGCTGACCTCTCCAGAAAAGCATACAATTTTGCATTTAAGTTGGGGGGGCTAGTCACCATTTATTTTCTCACTTTTTTTAAACAAATGCTTATAAAGCACTTATATTGCAGGCATTTCACAAACATGAGCACAGAGACAGGCATAGAGCTCAGGTAACTTACCCCAAATGTCCCCACTTGGAAGCAGTAAGAGTTGAACCAGGTGGTTTAACTATGACACAAGGCTGTCTCAGTGCATTCACTCCCTGGGACTATGCAGCACAGAAGGTATAATTAACCCCATTTTATAGATGCAGAAACTGAGGCTCAAGGCTACTCGGTATCTATGCTCTAGACCTAACAGAATAGGCTCGTCTCTTCTTTATGAGTCAGGACCACAGGTGTCAGGAATTCTGGGTCTAGGATTCTGCTGCTGAGTAAGGCAGCCATTTGCCACCGGTGGCTACTGAGCATCAAATGTGGCTAGTGTGACTGAGGAGATGCATTTTTTGTTGAATTTTAATTTAAAAACAGGTAGACTATTTCCCCCTTTAAACATAACTTCATTTTTTTTTTTTTGGTCAGACAATATTCACTTTAACCATGGACAATTTAGCTTCCATGCTGACTTGTAGCTACGTGTAAAATCCCCACCAGATTTTAAAGGCATTAGTCTGAAATTTTTTTAGATGATGGCTTTAATAATTTTAAATTGGGCTTCCCTGGTGGCGCAGCAGTTGAGCGCTGGGTTGCGAAGCTGCCGCAGCTTCTGCAACACCGGTTCGATACCTGGCTGCTCCCCGGCCACCAGAGGAGGGTCCCGCATGGCGCGCAGACCTCTCCTGCCGCCCGCTGCTCCCCTCAGCAGTGTGCTTTGGTCCTTCTGCCTGCTCTGCTTCCCGCTCTGGCTCTGGTGAATTCTCTCACCCTCCCACGCTTCTGACTGTATCCAGTGCTTGTATAAATAAATAAATAAATCTTAAAAAAAAAAATTTAAATTATCAGTTGAAATGATAATATGCTAGATCTAGTGGATTCAATAGAATATGTTCTTAAAATTATTTTCACCTATTTATTTCTACTCCTTTTTAATGTGTGATTAGGACATTTTAAATTCATATGGGGCTCACATTATGTTCTATGGGAGAGTGCTGGTCTTGAGAATTGGGATTTGGCCAGGCCCGTAGCCAATGGCCATGCCCAGGGTCCAGACCTAGTGGTCATAGCCTTAATCCAGATGAAAGCTGCTGGGTTGCAAAGATGGTGAAATGTTCTTGGTCAGTGTGGGCACTGGTGTCAGCTAGCCCAGGTTCAAATCTTGTATGTGCCCCATAGGACAAGCTGGGTGGTCTTGGGTAAGCCCATGGCCTTGACTAGTAAACAGAGGTGACAGAGGTGACAGTGCCCATCTTAAAGCTCCTTAAGTGCCTCAGGACCTTTGCACTGACTTTCCCCTCTGTCTCCCTTCACACCTCTGCACTCCACATCCCTTCTCTTTCTGAAGATCTTAGTTTAAACATCACCTTCCTGAGAAATCCTAGTAGAAATAGCCACCCCTCAATCATAATCTGATAGAGAACAAATTGGTCCTATTTTTATTCCTTATCCTTATTTTTATTACTTACCCTCTATTTGAATGATCCCAGTTATTAATTTTATTTTCTTGATAACAGTCTGTCTCCCTATCAATTTATAAGCTACATGAAGACAGGGATGGGTCCGTCTTGCTGCAGCTGAGTCCCTGGCATTTAGAACAGGGGCTGATGGCACCAATCAGGAATGGATGAGTGAAGTGAGCACAGATGCTCAGAGGACAGCCTTCCTGCCTTCTCTGCCCCTGACAGCTGTGGGGCCTTCCCACTGGAGTCTACCTGTCCTGCATAGAAAATAAGTTCATTCATCCTTCCCAGGCAGGGGAGTCTCCAGGGTTAAATGAGATCCCAGAACTCCCTGGAAGGCTAGGAGACACTGGTAAGCCGATCCCTGGGGTTCTGGAATCAGGAAAACAAAGGCGACTGCATCTACCTCCGGCTCCACCTGTACCTGGAGGAGTTATTTTTGGACACTGGTAAATTCAGACACCAAGACTGAAAAGGGATTTCTAAGAAAGGAGCTGGAGCTCTGGGGCTGTGCAGAGACCAGAGAGCACTGGCTGCTTCCTGTATACGCCCCTTCCCTCTCCCACTCTCGTTATTGAGCACCCACCTGTGCCACGGCTGTTCTAAGCATCTTACCCTGTACTAACTTACTAAACCCAAGCAGCAAGCCTATCGAGTGTATGGTAGGAGCCCATTTTATGAAGCAGAGTTTTAAATCCCTCTCCTGAAGTCGCACAAGGGGTCTGGGCAGAGGTAGGGTGCAGAGGGGGGTAGACTGTTTCTAGGGTGCTTGCCCTTAACCACGAGGCTTCTATGAAATGTCTGCTGCGAAGCGCACCCACCTTCAGGCTCCCGCAGGGCACCTGACTGGCTCTTTTGAGCTCGGCGTCAGCTCCTAGGTAAGCCTGTGTTCTTTGCGAAGCTCTGGACGGCTTTCCCACAGCTGGGCCTCAGGCTGCCCCTTAGTGGAAAGGGGAGAATGAACTTTCTGCCTGCACAGGATCCTCCTGGGGTGGGGGGGTGGGTTAATAAAGCAACGAGGGGAACCAGGAACTAGCCGTGGTTTGCTCTCCTCAAGGCCATACTGACTACGAAGGCCGTTCCCATCGCACAGATGGGGAAACTGAGTCAGCTCAGAAGCGCAAAATGCCGCCCCCAGGTGATAGGTAGGGAGGCCGCGGCTGGCGTGAGCGGGCGGGGCAGGGGCGGGGCGTGCCGGGCGGTGACCCCCGGGGCGGAGCGGGGATGGTGCAATGCCCCGCCCGAGGGCGTCAGGCGGCGGCCGATTAGCGCAGGTTTACATCACCCCGCCGAGCCCCAGCCCCGCGCCCGGCGCCCACGAGACACTCGCAGCCCGGGCTGCGACCGTTCGGCGCGCGTCCGGCGACGGAGGCGGGGGCCGGAGCTGCGCCCGGATCCCCAGCTCAGTCGCCGCGCAGCGGGGTCCGGTCCACCGGGGCCGCCCCGCCGACTCTGACCTCGGGCTGTGACAGCAGGACCCCAGGGCGCGCGAGGGCAAGGTACCTGGCGGGGAGCGGAGCGCGGCCGCGTGGCCGGCAGGTTGGACGGGCGGCAGGACTGCGTCTGCGGGCTGCCCCGTGTCACACACACACACACACACACACACACACACACGTGTCTGGAGGGCTGCGGGCTGCCCCGTGTCTCACACACACACACACACACACACACGTCTGGAGGGCTGCGGGCTGCCCCGTGTCACACACACACACGTCTGGAGGGCTGCGGGCTGCCCCGTGTCTCACACACACACACACACACACACACACACACACACACGCGTCTGGAGGGCTACCTGGGCCGAGTGTCCCCGCCGACCCTGTCGCCGCCAGATCGCAGGTGACACGGCCTCGAAGGGCGTGGGGGCGCCCGAGTGTGTCTCCGTGGGGAGAGGGCGCGGACCCCCCGAAGTGGCAGCTGTGCCCCGCGGCGGAGGGCGCCTGGGACCGAGGCTGAGGTGTCCAGGTGTCGCCCAGATAGTGGCGTGCGGTTGTTTGCTCTGTGTGAGTGCGCTGGGGGTGGTGTGCCCGGTGCGGGAGCCTGTGCGTGGGGCCTGGGGAGAGGCTGGGCACTGTCGTAGGGTCTTTGCAACTGTGGGGCTCGGCGAGGGGCCGTGGGGTCCGAGAGGGCCGGTGTCTGGAGTTCTGCGTCTCCGCGGACGGTGTGAGCCACGGGGAGGGCTGGGTTCCTGGTGGCGGCTGCTGGCAGCGCGGGGGACCCGGCCAGGTCCGGCTGGGGGGCGGGACGGGCTGGGGGTGCAGGGCGAGCGGGCGCGGGGTGCAGCGCGCGGGGGTCGCGGCGGCTGCGGTCTGCGCGGTCACGTGCGCGCGTGTGTTTAGCTCCTGCAGACGGTGGGTGTCCGGCCTGCCAACCGCGGCTTGGGGGGCGAGGGCCCACATCCGCCGGTTCCCCCTGCCCTGGGGCTCAGCCTCCTCCCCTTTGCCTCACTCCTTCCCAGCCCCCTCTGGCCACCCTCGCTGCCACCTCTGGGTTTCCGCTGAACGTCTCCTCCGGGACCCCCGGGGCCACTGCTTGCCGGCGCAGCAAAGGCGCCTGGCCGCGAGGCCACACCCCCGCTCTAGGCCGGGGTCCCACCGCGCCCGCGGACGCTGGGTATTAGCCCCGCGGTCCTCAGCGTGACGACTCGGAGGGCCGTGGAGTAAGCGTATCCCACTTGAGGCTGTGCGTGCCCCTCTCTGCCTCGGCCGGCTTAGACAGAGTGTTTCTGAGGGGCATGTATTCACCTGTCCGCCCTGGGTGGTGTGAATGTGTTTGGTCTGACCTGGTAGTTTCCCCCCCACCCCCAATGTCAGGGATCAGGAAGAAGTGGATATACTGGGCCGCCTCCAGCCCCCGGTGTGGCCGGCCAAGTCTGCTCTTCTACAGACTCAGTCGCGCCATCTGTGCGGGGGAATTTACCCCCAGGCCCTGCCAAACCCTGAGACTAGTGCTTCCCGGGAATCTAGTGCTTCCGGGGTACCGAGCATCAACTAGGTACCACGGAGCTTGACTCCCAGAACACCCTGTGAGGTAAGGACTGTCATTCCAGTCTCGCCCCTGGGGAGATTTCTAAGACTCCCCAGGGTGGCACTTAAGCACCTTCAGCTAAGAATAACAAAAACAATAATCTAATGGTACCATAGTAGTGACCGTTTGCTGACAACTACCCTGCAAAGGGGCCATCCTGATTTATTTGTGTTTTCGTTGTCTGATCACAAAAATCTTGGGCCTCCCAGGTGGCACAGGGGTTAAAGTCTCAGCACTATCAAGCTATTGCCAGCCAGGGAGCTGACCCACATGGCAGCAGACCAGACCAGACCTCTCCTGTCTCTCCCACTGCTCTCTGTTTCAGTAGATCCGCCTGTTCTGTCTCTGGTGAGTCCTCTCACCCCCACCTCTTGCCTACCCTCCAGTTCTTGTATGCATAAAGAAATAAAAAATAAATCTTAAAAAAAAAATCTTGTGGGCTTCGCATCTTGTTCCCACTTTAGAGAGAAGAGAACTGAGGCTCGGGAAGGTTGGAGAATGGCCCAGGGCTACCTGAGCAGGAAGGGTCTGAGTCTGGACTGTTTACAGCCACCCCCTATTGTATTCTGACCAGAGGGATTAATGGCCTTCTGTTGTCGAGGCTCCCTCCCTCCCTCCCAAGGCAGCCCCAGCATTTGGGAGAAGCAAAATTGAGACAGGGTCCCCTGTCTAGTAACTGATTTGGAAGGATGTTTGTTGTTAATCCTGCCTCGATCGTTGGGGAAGTCTTTAACTGGGCTCAAGTCTCTCCCTCTAACACCTCACACCTGGACTTCTCATCCCTCACCTGGAAGTTGAAATGGCAAATGGAGAGAACCTCTTTGTCCTGCCCTGCCAGTGTCCTCTCCTTCATTCACCTGGCTCCCCGTGACACAGCTGCTCGAGTGTGGCCTCCGCCATAGTAGAATGAATGGATCTGGGGCCGTGGAGAGACCCTCCCTGCCCTGCCTCAGTTCTTACCTGATGGTGAAACTGATCTGTCTGGTGGACTAAGGCATGTAGACCTTGGGGTACCCTTAGCTCTTGGCCCTCAGGCAATAGTAGGTAAAGTTTGCATTTGAAAAAAATACTCTCCATCTGTTTTGAAATACTCAAGCAATAAATGAAGGTAGAATCCTTATTTTAAAATGTTGGAACTGAAAATTCCCTTGTCTCCCTTCCAAATTTCTTCTTCAGGAAGATTTCCAGGAAGCCTGGAGTTACTATGGCCTGTTCAGTCTGGGTCCTTCCAGAGCTTTTCCTGTGCGTTTACACATCCGTCAGTACATATATTCAAAACACTTTTATTTATTTTTTTCTATTTTATAACATTGAATGTTTTATATTTTATAATATATTTCAATACAAATATTTTAGTATTTTAAAATGCAGCTGATTTTCCCCCAATGCCTTTATTTTTTTTTTAATTTTTAAAATTTTTTTTAAATTTAAATTTTATTTTTATATTCCTCATACAAAATTGCAACCCCCTTATTTTGACCCCAATCCCTCCTTTTCCCTCAAAACACTGTTTTAAAAGCTGGTGGTTTTTTTTTTTTCCCTAAGCAGTGTGTCAGGTGTATTGTTCAACTGCTTGCTTTGTTCACTTTATTCTATTCCAGAATACATTCAGGGTTACTTTCAGTACATCCCTCATTTATTCATCATCCTTCATCTGCCTTCCCTCCTTTCTTTCTTTCCTCTCTCCCTTTCAAAGGCAATGGGGGCTTACATCACAACATTCAACAAACACAGTACAAAGTATCTCTTCTTCCCTCTCCCTGACCAAGTCCATCTGACCCCGCCCCCACTTCTTCACTTGACAGTTCACTCTGGAGGTCTTCGGAATGCATAAAGAATTTCCTCCATCTTTTAGATGACTACAAATTGTACCATGATGGATAAAATACAATTTTTTTAAACCAGTTCCCTAATGATGGACATTCAGTTGTTTCGATCACATGGGCTGCAGGAATAACCTTGTACCATCATCTCTGTCTTCCTCCCCACGTGTGCACATATGTTATGTGGTAGATTCCTAGCAATGATAGTAATTGTTGAATCAAAGCACATTTTTAGGGCCTCCCCGGTGGCGCAGCGATTCAGCGCTGGGTTGCGAAGCTGCCCATGGCCTCTGCGGCGCCGGTTTGATCCCCGGCTGCTCCCCGGCCACCAGAGGAGGGTCCCACATGGCGCGCAGACCTCTCCTGCCGCCCGCTGCTCCCCTCAGCAGTGTGCTTTGGTCCTTCTGCCTGCTCTGCTCCCCGCTCTGGCTCTGGTGAGTTCTCTCACCCTCCCGCGCTTCTGACTGTACCCAGTGCATGTATAAACAAAACAAACAAACAAAACAAAACAAACAAACAAACAAAAAAAACCATGCCTCTATCAAAGCACATTTTTGGTTTCATGTTGATATTGTCAAAATTCACCCCAAGTTAAACGCAACAGTTTTCTTCAGCATCTCCCAAATAAAGACTACTTCCTTGGCTCAGGAAATGAAGCACCACCCCTCCTCACCAAGGAGCTGAAGGCTGGACTTGCTCTTGGCTCTGCCTGCTTCCTCACCCCCAGGTCCAAGCCCCTCACTGAGTCCTCTTGGTCCCCTCCTCCCCCCATTGAGCCCTTGACCTGTGTCTGTATTCCCACTCGCGCCTCCTAGTCGTCCTCTCTTGTCTGGATTGTGAGCTGGCTTCCTTGCTGGTCCCCCTGGTCCTGTCTTGTTCTCTCAAATCCACCCTAAACATGTGTTGTTCCCGTGCTAGGAGTTGGCTCCCCGGTGTCTTCTGGACAAAGTCCAAATATCACCAGTCCTAATTAGGGTTAGACTCAACTGTAATAAACAGCCAACCCAACAGCAGCTAAAATGAAATAGAAACATTTCAAAAACCTGGAAGCAGGCAGCCCAGGGCGGGACTGGGCTCAGGGACTCGGGCTTCTCAGTGGTTGCTTGGTTGTGTGTGGTATTTCTAGGTCCAAGATGGATGCTGTGGCTCCAGCAGTCAGGTTCACATTCCAGCCTACAGGGAGGAGGGAATAAGGACATTTCACTGGGAGTTGCACACAATGCTTCAGCTTATATCCTGTTAGCCACCTGCTGATATTTAGCTGCAATATGATGCTTGAAGAGCCCTTCACAGGGGTGCCTTCCCTAATCTCGCCAACCTTAAATATTTAATACTTTCATGGTTTTCTGCAATCACACTGATTTCCCAACTGTAGTTATGTTCTTTTGCCTCTTCCCTCTTCCTAGAATAGCAAATTCTAGCAATAACAGTATCGACCTAACCTGGGAGCTTGTTAGAAATGTAGATTCTCAGAACCCACTGCAGACCTCTAAAAGTGGGGACTAACAATGTGTATATTAACAAAGCCTCTAAATGATTGCAGGGGCTGCTCAAGTTTGAGAACCACAGAAAGAGACTTTACCTTTCCACATTACCTTTCTCCTTCGTTTAGATGTCACCTCTTCCAGGAGGTCCTCTCTTGACCTTCTAGCTTGGGACAGAGGCCTCTCTGGTTCCCCACAGCCCCATGCTTCCCCTAATTATAGGACTGATCACACTAGATATGATTCTATGGTTACCTGCCTGCACAGGATGATTAGGGAGAGAATGGTTTCTCATTCATCTCTGTCCCTAGTACCCTGCCCAGGGAGTGTTGAATGAATAAATGGGATCATATCTCTCCTATCTGTGAATGTACCAGACTCATGTCTTGTATGATGGCTTGATTATAATTTTTGGAAACAAGCTGTGTGTTCAGATAGGTATTTATTTCTTTAAAGGTAAATTTCTGATTAGGAAATCCATTCCCATGGTTTGGAATTCAAAAAGTATTAAAATGAAAGTCTCTTTTCATTCTGTTATATATCTTTCCACAAAGTGTCTACATATGCAAACAAGCTACACATATAGTTGTATAACATTTTAAACATAAGAGTATAGTTTACACATAATTCTGTGTTTTGCTTTTCTTGGCAATCAGGCCACATAGTATGTAGGGAACTGCCTGGTCCTTTTTCAGGGTTGTATAGTTTTCTGTGGTGCGACTGTACAATGATGTTTAAACCAATCTCCTATTGCTGGACATCTGGGAGTGTGTCCTGCCTTTTACTATCAGACACAAGGTTCTGATGAATAGCTCTTTACATATTTATTATTTTCCTGACCATTGTAATTGGAGGATAAATTCCTAGAAGCGAGACACCCAGTCAAGGGTATGTGCATTAGTTGTTTGAACACACACTACCAAGCCACTCTCTGTAGACTGTGCAGTGTACCCTGCTATACCCTCCCACCATCAGAGGCACCAAACAGCTTTACTTAGTGCCTTTCTCCCCTTCTTTCTAGATGCGAGTCACCCCTCTGGCTGCCCCTGCAGATTCTCGCTCCAGGAAAAAGAGGCTGGAGTTGGATGATGACCTCGACTCTGAGTATACCAGACGGAAACAAGCTCGAAGTGGGCTCCAGCCCAGGCTGCCCCCCTGCCTCCTGCCCCTGAGCCTGCCCCCTGCTCCAGCCCCAGCCCCTGGAGTGACCACTGCCTCCCGGCTTGGGCCCTATGTCCTCCTGGAGCCCGAGGAGGGCGGCCGGGCCTACCGGTCCCTGCACTGCCCCACAGGCACCGAGTATACTTGCAAGGTATGTTGCACAGTGGTGACATGCCACTCTTCTTGGGACCCTGGAGAGGGCCTGGACTCAAGGGAGTTGCCAGGAGCTAGGGAGTACTTACATTAATTTATTCCTGTGTTTATTGAGGAAGCAGCCAGTGAGCTCCCAACTCTCTGTCAGCCCCAGGACTAGACTGAGGTCAGGGAGGGGAAACAGATGGCCCCAGGCCTGCAGTAATTCACAGCTTAGGTGGCACATAGGTCCTTGAGAGCACAGAGAAGCTTCTAGTGTATTGGGGGTGGGGGGCCGGGAGGATAGGGTATTGGAAAAGGCTGAGTAGGAGTCAGTCAGCAAGGAAGAGGGAGAGAAGGGAGTTCACAGAGGAGAGAAGCTGCGCAGAGGTCTAGGGGAGGGGGCGTGGCTCTGCAGAGAATGAAGGGGGCTTCCCTGACCACTGGTTATGGACACATCAGGAAGTTTCTGCTGGGCTGTGGGGAGCCATTAAAGATATTAGTGCAAGGAAAGGGTGAGACGTGGTTGACAGCAGAACTCCTGGAGGTAACTGGGCCTGACCTGTGGCCCAAGACTGAGCGGCTGCTCAGGGGTAGATGTGGACATAGGATCCAGCTGCCACTTTTTCTGGGCTCTGTACTGCCTGATATGGGTCACCAGTGCTCTACTACCGGTGTTTTATGGAACCTCTGAACTATGGGGCCTCTTCCTGTGGTATCACAGGTTCTCCTCTGTTCCCCCTGGGGAGGAGATCCATGCAGAGAGGAGTGAGCAAAGCAGGCTGGGACCAGCAGCGCCATGTTTATCCATGGACAGGCCTGTGCAATTATTCAGAAACATTTTGGGAGCCTACTCCGACATGCTATCTCACGCCAGCTTGAACTATGGGGCTGACCTATTAGCACTTCCACATCGCCTAGGGTCCTCTGGTCACTGTGGAAAGATCAACAGTCTATCTTTGTAGATTAGCATCTTATTTGTTAATACAGCAAACCTTCCATGAGCACCCATGTGTGCCAGGCACCACACTGTGGTTCAGAAACAAAGTTCTGCTCTCATTCTAATCGCCATTCACGTGGGGGACAGGGACAGTAAGCAAGAGAATAAGTGAAATATATGTCAGGATCATAAGTGCTGTGGCACAAAAGCTTGAACTGGGAGAGGGGGGTGGGAGAGTAAGAGGTGCAGGTGATTTTAGCTGGGGAGCAGGGAGACCTCTCTGAAGAGCTGACAATTGAGCAGAGACTCGCATGAGTGGGGCGAGCCAGGCAGCAGGAAAGGCAAGTGCAAGTGCACAGAAGCAGGAATGTGCTTGCCTGAAATTTATCAGTAGGGTATGTTTTTGGATTATTTCATTCACGCCACCCATGGAGATGCAAAGTACAAAAGCACGCCAGGAGTTCTCTCTCTCTCCCCCTCACAAATCAAAGCGAGTATGCCAGCTCTGCTGCTGACTAGCTGTATGCATTGCAAGTCACTTTCCTTCTCTGAACATCACTTACACGGGACACACCATTCAGGGTAATGGTGAGGTTTGCATCTCATGTCCCTAAAGCCCCGAGCTGTTTTCTGGACAACCTCGCCACATGCCCCCTCTCCTCTCCCACCCCACCGCAGCCATTATGATTCTTGGCTGGGTTTCTAGGCAAGTTTTTTTTTTCTGGCATCAGGGTCTTTGTACTGCCTGTGCCCCCACCTGGAAATCTTTTTTTTTTTTTAAAGATTTATTTATTTATTTATTTATACAAGCACTGGGTACAGTCAGAAGCGCGGGAGGGTGAGAGAATTCACCAGAGCCAGAGCGGGGAGCAGAGCAGGCAGAAGGACCGAAGTACACTGCTGAGGGGAGCAGTGGGTGGCAGGAGAGGTCTGCGTGCCATGCGGGACCCTCCTCCAATGGCCGGGATGCAGCCGGGGATCAAACTGGCGCTGCAGAGGCTGTGGGCAGCTTCACAACCCAGTGCTCAACCGCTGCGCCACTGGGGAGGCCCCCACCTGGAAATCTTATTCTATGTCTCTGAATCATTTTGGTCGCTCCTCCTTAGAGTCCCTTCTGGACCACTTTCTTAAACAGGCGCTCCATTCCGAAACATTTTCTACTCCAGCATTTTTTAGTTCACTTGCAGCACTTTTCAGATTTGGTAGATATTTTGTTTCTTGGCCTCTTTACTGTATCCTGTTTGAACCAGGAGCACTGGACAGGGACCATGCCAGTCGAGTTAGATTCCCGGTGCTGGCACAGGCGGGCACAATGCCCGCCTATGGAGTGAGTGGCCCAGAATAGCAACTGTGACGATGCAACCAAGTTACTTCTACACTATCTGCTTTCTGGGTTACTTGTTATTTTTCAATTATCTGAAGCTTAATGCCTTGTAAGATGCAATTAAAAGCAGCGATGATGAGGTGCATTGGTTGGAATCTCTGGTTCTGCCACTTGCTGGCAGGGCAGCTCTGTCCGGTTGAGTGACTTGCTACTGCAGCCTCTGGCCCACATCTGGCACACAGCTTGTCTGAAGGGTTGGCTGTGAATGTCTCAGAGGCCAGCCCAGCTGTGCCCCTTCCCCATCTGTGCTGACACTGTGCTCTGCCCACAGTTGTACCCCCTCTCTGAAGCCATGGCAGTCCTGGAGCCCTACTCTCAGCTGCCCCACCACGGGTACGTGGCCCGGCCCACTGACATCCTGGCAGGCACCCAGCACCTCTACATCTTTTTCCCGAGGCCGCACGGGGACATGCACAGCCTGGTGCGCCAGCGCCGCCGCCTGCCCGAGCCTGAGGCCGCCGCGCTCTTCCGCCAGATGGCTGCCACCCTGGCGCACTGCCACCAGCACGGCCTCGTCCTGCGAGACCTCAAGCTGCGTCGCTTTGTCTTCACCAACTGTGAGAGGTGAGTGTGGTCACAGAGACACTCAGAGGTCGGTCACAGTGGGGAAACTGAGGCTCAGGATGGCCAAGTGGAAAAGCCTGGGCTGGCCCCACTGCCTAGTCCCCAGGACAAAGTGGAGCCCTTCCTGTTGGAAGCCCCTGGGGAGTGGAGCAGGCCTGTGCAACAATCCTGACAGTGGGCAGAGCAAGAGCACACCTGCACTCCCGAGCTGCCCTAGAGCCTTACACATAAGAGGCAGTGGCCATTGTCCCCATGTGGGAGGTGAGCAATAGGCCCAGAGAAGTCAGTTGACACCCAAGATCCCACCACTAAATAAATGCAGAGCTGGGATTTGTGTGGGGATGTGACTCCAGAGCCCAGGTCCTTGTCCACTCCGAGCCTGAGGAGCGGGGGGCTGGCTGGGCTCCTGCTGACTCTGGGTAACTCAGGGTCTGGACCTCAGATTCTTCATTGGTAAGGGAGAGCTTGTCACCATGTTTTCAGAACTTCAGGGCTACATGCAACAGCCTGAACTGACCCTGAGTTTTCCTACATACGAAGTGTTTCTGTGAAACTGAGAATCAGTGATTTTTGGAGAAGGGGGAACAGAAAGGGGTGCGACCTTCTATCCCCTTCCCAGATGCCTGTGGGTAAGCAGGGTGTGTCGGGAACATGCCAAGCTGCTAGGTCCATATGGATATTCCTGGGTGCACCAATTTCATTTCCAGATTTGGGGGGGTTTGTGTGTGTGAGGAAGGTAACCCTATTACAGTTTTTAAACTTTTTTGAAATACTTTCAGACTTTCAAAAAAATTACCCAGTTAGTCCAAAGAGTTCCCGTATATCTCCCTAAGTGTTGACAGTACGGCTCTTAGAAGCAGGTATCTGCTCAGGCTTGGCAGAGTCCTCACTTCCTATCTCTCTCATTATCTGTCTGAGGCCCCCTCAACCGCCTTCCCTGAGGGCCTGTTGGGAAATGTGTTCCTCTCAGAGTCTTAGTTCAAATGTAATTGCTCTGTGACCTTCAACAACGACTTGGCCTCTCTGAGCCTGCGCTTCCTCATTTGTAAAAGGGATCAGTTGTTCAGCCTCACAGAACTGGCTTATGCCTGCCAAATGCCAGCTCAGGGACTCAGGGAATGGGTCTATTAAGGGTAATAGTTTGAGCTGATGGCATGGGGGTCCCCATAGGAGCTAACCCCTGTGTCTCTCTTCTGGCTGCAGAACAAAGCTGGTGCTGGAGAACCTGGAGGATGCCTGTGTACTGACCGGGCCGGATGACTCCCTCTGGGACAAGCACGCATGCCCAGCCTACGTGGGGCCCGAGATCCTCAGCTCACGGGCCTCCTACTCCGGCAAGGCTGCGGATGTCTGGAGCCTGGGCGTGGCACTCTTCACCATGCTGGCTGGCCACTACCCCTTTCAGGACTCAGAGCCTGCCCTGCTTTTTGGCAAGATCCGCCGAGGGGCATTTGCCTTGCCTGAGGGCCTCTCAGCCCCTGCCCGCTGCCTGGTCCGCTGCCTCCTTCGACGGGAACCAGCTGAGCGGCTCACGGCCACGGGCATCCTGCTGCACCCCTGGCTTCGGGAGAACCCGATCCCTTCAGTCTCATCCCGATCCCTTCTCTGGGAGGCTGATCAGGTGGTTCCTGATGGGCCAGGGCTGGAGGAGGCTGAAGAAGCGGAAGAAAGCGAAGTGGGTCTATATGGCTAGGGCCACTTGATTAGACCCTCAGCTGCCAACAGTAGGTTGAATTTGAGGTGTCTCTGAACTTTCTCTTGCCTCTTTGAACAGAGCCAAACCTTAAGTGCCTTCTAGGTGGGGGGGCGGCGGAGATGTGTGCAGTGTGGGTTATATGCACACATGTGGGTTATATGCACACATGTGGGTTATATGCACACATGTGGGTTATATGCACATGTGTGTTGCTCCACTCACCCGTGTACATGGGCGATGCATTCAACATTTGGGAGCTTGTGTGCCAAGCCCTGCTCCAGGTGCTGGAACAGCAGTGAAGAAGACACAGAATTCCTATCCCAGAGCTGACAAGGGCAGTGTCTCTTCTGAGCACCCTTCGTGCTAGTCAGCATCTACTTGTGCTACTGCCTGGGCCCCTCTGACACGGCACAGTTCCTTTTACAAACACCCCAGCTGCCTTCATGTCTTGCACCCTTTCAGAGAATGGGAGCATCCTTGTGCCAAAGGCTCCAGGCTTCTCCCCTGCAACTTAGGACTCCAGAGCCCAGGCCATGTTGGGGATCGTGCTCTGCATCTCTGTCCTCTTGGCCAAGGGATCCTCTGTCCAGCCTGAGCCAAGAGTTTGGGTCTGAAGAATCAGGAGTGCAAACTCTGGAGCTGGTCTTCATCTAACTCCAGCAGTGGTTTGAAATGCTCAGTGGTCTCTGTCCTGAGCACAGAATTGGGGCACAGGATTAGGCAGGGTCTGCCCCCTGGCCTCCTGGAACATCCTAAGCCCTGTTCTGGGGACTTTTGGGGTCCAGGACCCCATATTGTGTTTTGATGCCATGAACTTATGTTTTTACTTTATACCTAATAAAGGAATTAAACAAGACTGATATTTCTTTAATACTTTCCTCCCCATCTTCTACTAGTTTTCCCTGCCTCCAAAGCCAGCCCCTTGCTAAAGGGCCAAAAGCCTGGTGAGTCAATCTCAGCTGAGTGGTTTGTTTGTGAGAACAGAAGACACAGCAGGTCTTCCAACATGCCCTCAAGCATCAGAAGCCCTCAGTCAAAGTGATTTAAAAATGTATTTCATGCAAAACAAGAAGTCAACCAGTGGGGTGGGCTTCAGTGCTGGTTGATTAGCTCTCAGAGCTATTAGCAAGGACCCCAGCTCCCAGCTCATTCTGTCTGGTTGCTGTTTCCCCTGGTCACCGCTAGCACAATAGCTACAGCAGTCCTGGGTGTCACATTAAAGAGATCTGTGGCTAGAGGAAGAAGGAAGGCAGCATTGTAGTAGGAGTCAGGATGCCTGGTGTTTAATCCTGGCTCTAGCACTCACTAGCTGCTTGACCCTCAGCAAGTTTCTTAACCAGTCTGCGCCTCAGATTTTTCATCTGTAAAATGAGAGATAATAGTACCTAACCCATGAGAATTGGATGGGTTATTTTATGTTAAGCACTTAGAATACACAGTGCCTGACATAAGACCTCAGAAAGAGTTAGTTGTTGGTGTTTTCCTTGAGCTGGGGAAAGCTTTCCCGGAAGCACTCCAGACATTTCCACATATCCCATTGTCCTCCACTGGGTCACATGCTCTTTCCTGGCCAACTGGCAAGGGAATGCAATTACACCAATTAATCATGCTAATCCTGGATCTCTAGGTAGGAATAACCTCCTTGAGGCTCTTGCTACTTGTGGGAGGGGGAGTGGCGCCCAAGCAAAATAAAATTCTAAGAGGGAGGAGATAATTGGAGAAAGCTGAGTAGGAAACAGGTGCCTTGGTCCGTGAAAGGTCCATGCAGCAGGCCGGAATGCAAAAGCCTACCCGGAAGCCCACCTGGGGGGCAGGAATGTGGATACCTGCCTGGAGGATTCAGGCTGTGAGCCTCCCCCCTCCCCCTACGAGTCTCTTCTCAGACAAAGAACCTCTACCTGCCCCACGAACCTTTTCGCGCCCTACAAACTTTTCCCGCTGTAGGAGCCCAACTACCCACCTGACCTCTCCTCACCCTATAAAACCCTGCTTCCCCCTAACAACGTGCGCGACTCCACTGACCCCCGCCTTGGGTCTAGGTCCGCCCGGGGCGCAATAAACTTTCCCTCCCTTTGAGAAATTTAGCCTGGCTCTCCTTTTCTTCACCACGCCGAACCTTTCAGTCCGCAGCCTGCTAACTGCAGACAAGGCAGGTCTAGGTCACGGAGCCACCAGTCAGCATCTGATGACCGCAACAGTCAGGCTGGCCCAGGTGAAGATGCGCCCAGCTGAGACAGAATCACGAGCTAAATAAAATTTTGTTTTAAGTGTTGGGGTGTTTTGTTATACAACAAAAGCCTTCAGATCACTGAAGTCTTAGACAAATCGTAACTACAACCTCATGAGAGACCTTGAGCCAAAACCACCTAAGAAGATCCTCCTGAATTCTTAGCCCATAGACTCAATGAGAGGTCAACATGTTTAATGCTGTCTTAAGCCACCAAATTTTAGGGTAATGTGTTTTGTATCAGTAACCAACAACTGATTCAGATCCAGGTAACTGCCCTCTGAAGGCGGGACCATCACGATCACTGTTGTACAGAAAAGGAAACTGAGGCCCTGAGAGGGGAACTCTCATGTCCAGGGTCACACAGCTGCTGAGCCTTGGGATTGAACTAAGGTTTGAATGACTACAATTATCCACTGGATGACGGAAGTTCAAATGAATGTCAAGGCTAAGACCAGAAAACCTGGGAGAATGTATCTGTCCTCAGTACAAATCTGTGCAGGAAGGCCTCCCCGGCGGCGCAGTGGGTTAAGCGCTGCCCTGTGAAGCTGTCCGCAGCCTGTGCAGCACGAGTTCAATCCCCGGCCGGCCAGAGAGAAACCCACATGACGCAGCAGACCTCTCCTGTCTCCCCCGCTGCTCCCCCAGCAGTGTACTTCGGTCCGTCTGCCTGTTCTGCTGTCTCCGGTGAATCCTCTCACCCCACGCATCTCTGGCCTGTACCCCAGCTCTTGTATGCATGGATAGATAGATCTTAAAAAAAAAAAAAATTCCACTGCTTGGCCTTCGGCAGGTCCTAAACAGCCTGCTCACGTCTTCCGCACAGCGAGCTGAGGACTGCTCAACCCCCGGCTGCGGACCGCGCCGCTGCGCAGGGCGGCCGAGCGCCCCGCCCCGCCCCGCCCCGCCCCGCCCCGCCCCGCCCCGCCCGGTCCCCGCCCCGCCCCGCCCGGGTCCCCGCCCACAGCCCCGCCCCGTCTCCGACGCAGCCCAATCCGCGCTCCCGCCCCGCCCCGCCCCGCCCCGCCCGCAGCCCCGGCACAGTCCCCGCCCACAGCCCGCCCCGTCTCCGACGCAGCCCAATCCACGCTCCCGCCCCAGCCCCGCCCCAGCGCGTCCAGTCCCCGCCCCGCGCCCGGCCCGGCCCCGCCCCGCCCCTCCAGCTGCGCGGCCCGGCGCGTGAGTGAGGCCGGGGTGCCCCGGGTCAGCCAGGGGAGCCGGGGTGGGGGCGGCGCCCGGGGCCGCCGCGACCCTGAGCAGGGCGGGGTCGCTAAAGACTACCTGGGCCTCTGCCCCGCGAAGGTGAGCGGGGCTGGGGGCCTGGCCCGGGCGACTCCCCCCGCCCCACTTCCGGGGCCGCCACTTTCGCTTTCTCTTCCGCCCGGACCGCTCACCTACCCGCTCGGTACCTTCCGGTTGGGCGGAAATTCTAGGCGTCCGGGGCGCCCCCAGCTGGGAAAAGTCGGGGCCCTCGCTGTGTACGTCCAGCGGCGGCCCTTCCCCTCGTATCCTCTGTCGCCTCTAGCGGCTTGTTCAGTGACCTCTGCCCTTTGACCTCCCACTCGGCGTCGCGCCCGCGCCCATCCCGGCCTCATCCCCTGCCCCCAGGTGGTGCGATGCTGCGCGACTGCCCCCGGGGACACCGAGGCACCGCGAGGGCGAGGTCCGCGCCGTAGGTCGGTGGCCGCCTCTCCCAGGGCGCCGGGAGGCGGCACTTCTCCGAGCTGCAGCCCCTGCCTGGGGGGGATGGGCGCAACCAGGCCGGATGGACGAGAAGACCAAGAAAGGTGGGCATGGCCTGCGGGTGACTGGGGAGCTGCGTGCGGGAGGCGGGCCCTGGAGAACCTGCCTTGCCTTCCCAGAAGGGCCTGGGAGAGGGGCCTTCAACTCTGCCCACCTGCCACCCACCTGCCCTTCAGTTTCTTTCCTTGGGGACTGGTTGCTCCGGAGGTTGTTTTTTTTTTTTTTTTTAAGATTTATTTATTTATGCATACAAGAACTGGGGTACAGGCCAGATGTGCGGGAGGATGAGAGGATTCACCAGAGACAGAGTGGGGAACAGAACAGGCAGACTGACGAAATACACTGCTGAGGGGAGCGGTGGGCGAGACAGGAGAGGTCTGCCTCACCATGTGGGTTGCTCCCTGGACAACTGGGGATCAAGCACATGCTGCCGAGGCTGTGGATTGCTTCACAGTGCGGTGCTCTAACCCCTTGTGCCACCAGGGAGGCCCTCCAGAGGTATTTTGTCATTTATTTATTTGACTTCCTTAAGGCCTCCTTGGACCAGCTCTGGGCTGAGATGGGGTGAGAGGCCCCTAGGCTGACGGAGGAGACAGACCTCAATTCCCTCCCCTCCTGCCCACTTCACCCAGCTTTGTAGAGCATAAGTGAGGCCATGTCACCATGCTGCCAGGACCTCCCCTCTGCCCCTGTGTTCTTAGAACCAAGCCCTGAGTCCTTGGGTCAAGCAGGGCCCTGCTGGCTTCTCTGACCACACAGTCGTCCCTGCTTCACCCCCTTACTCACTCTGCTGGAGCCCTATTGCCTGCTTTCTGTTTTAATCCAGCCATTTCTTGCCCATGTGTTTTGTTCTTATTTTTTTTCTCTATCTGGAATGTTTTTCTCCAATTGGGTCTTGACCTGTCCAGCTTCTCCATCACGTCTCATCTTCAGTGTCACATCCTCTTATAGACCTTCCCTGATCTCCTTACTCTGTTCCCTTGCTAGCTTGTCTCACATCTGAATTATTTTTCTCTCTTGTTAAATTTGTTGTCTCCTCACTTGGCTGCTTCCAGGTTCAATGAGGAGAGGAACCCTGTTTATCTTAATCACTGCTAAATCCCAGTTTCTAGGACAGTGTCAGGTACACAGTAGGAGCTCAGTAATGTTTATCAGATAAATGAATAGAAGTATGAAGGAAAAGTAGAACCAGAGGAGGTATGAGTAGAGGGATCATGTCATAGACGGCCTCCCGGAGAAAGGGGCTTTTAAGCTGGGTGCTGAAGGGTATGTAGGAGTTCACATAGAAGGTAGAAAGGAAGCAGCATGTACAAAAGACCACTTCATCCTACAACTCCTGACTCCAACTCCTGAAAAATAAATCCTGTGCTAACCTGCTTCCATTGGATTTCAGCCGAGGAGATGGCCCTGAGACTCACCCGAGCAGTGGCAGGCGGGGATGAACAGGCGGCTGTGGAATGTGCCATCTGGCTGGCAGAGCAACGGGTGCCTCTGAGTGTGAAGCTGAAGCCCGAGGTCTACCCCTCACAGGACATCAGGTGAGGAATGCATGGCTGGCCAAGAACTTAGGACTTCCAACCCCGCTGTGGGCCAGCATATTCTTGCCTACAGATTAATTGTTCTCAGTGGCAGGTTCTGATATCAGGAGACCTAGCTCTGTCACTAATCAACTGAAATCAGGGGCTGGACTCTTCCCCTCTCAGAGTTTCAGTTTTTTCCATTTTACAGTGGGATATAACAGGGCCTCCCTGGTGGCACAAGGGGTTTAGCACAGCGCTGTGAAGCGATCTGCAGCTTCTACAACACGAGCTGCCTGGCTGGCCAGGGAGCAACTCACATGGTGCAGCAGACCTCTCCTGTCTTGCCCACTGCTCCCCTCAGCAGTGTATTTCAGTTGATCTGCCTGTTCTGTTCCCCACTCTGTCTGGTGAATCCTGTCACCCCCCGCACCTCTGGCCTGTACCTGAGTACTTCTGTGCATAAGTAAATAAATCTTTAAAAAAATAAAATTTATTTAAAAAAATAAAATAAAATGGGATATGACAGTAGCTTTTTGATAAGATTGTCTATTTTTGTGATTATTATCTGCTTTAATGAATTTTCTGATTAAATTATTCCTACTTATCATGATGGCATTGGATACTAGGGCTCTGGCTATGTTTTTTGTTATTGGTATTAGGGTAGCGTTTTCAGATGTTTGTTTTCTAACTATAAATAACATTGCTGTGCTTTGCCTCTAGATAGCTTCTAAAAATGCAAACCCACTAAAACTGCATTCATTGTATTTTAATTGTGGAAATACCACTCACTGTGCAAGAAGCAATGCAGTTGAAACTATTCATTTTTATGTTTCAAAATTCCTATGGCTTGGAGAAGAATGTGTTGAAGGTTATGATCTAGTCCTTCTTTTAATTCTTTTTGTTGTTTTCTTCCATTCTGCATAGACCCAACTATTCTTGTTTGTTGTATTTCAAAAACTTTTCTAATGAATGCTATTTTAGTTAAAAAAGAAAAGGGAATGGTAAACTTTTGGAGTCTTTACATGTCTAAAAATGTCAACATTTGCCTTTTCCTTTCATTGATTGTTGGCTAGGTGTTGAAAATCATTCTCCTGGGGAATTTTGAGGGTAGTTTTTGGAGTATTTTAAAACATCTCAGATATCATTTTATTCATAAATATTTTGATAGCTGTCTTTGAAAAATAACTTCAATACAATGATCTCACTTAAAAAATATCGGTAAGTCCTTAACTCCCCCTAATACTCTTTATATGTAAACGTCCTGATTATCTCATTCCTGCTTTTCATAGTTGGTTTGTTCCAATCAGGAGCCAAACAAGACCTACATGTAGCATTCTTTTTTTTTTTTTGCTATTGATTCATCATTTTATTTTTTTTAATATTTTATTTTATATAATTCTTACATCATTATTCATTTTTGCACAATGTATGCATTTTCATTTTGGTTATATTCCCCATACAGTTGCACCCCCCCCCCCTTACTTTGACCCTAATCCTTCTTCTTCCCCCCATACCCCCGTAGCATTCTTTAATCTTGTCTAAGTCTCTTTTATTCTCCCTTTCGATTTTTATACCATTGATATTTTTTTTAAGAAACCCGGTCTTTAACCTTCAGGATTTTCCTCATTCTCTATTTATAAATTGCCTCATCAGTGCATAGTTTAAAATCTCCAATTTTTCTGATGAACTTGCACTTGTAGCAAAAGTTTAGGCTAGTGAGTAGTCACTTTCTACATTTCTGGGGACTCTTCCCCATGTTCTGCCTTCTCTGGGTCTCGCTTACTGCCCGTGTCTCCCTGGACCCCTTGAGGATACTCAGATGTTACTGGGGTTATTGTTGTGCCCCTGATTTATCTCTGTAATCCTTTGGGATCAGTTCTCCTTTTTTCACCACAGCCCTTCTTTTTCATGCCTTTGGTTTTCCAGAAGTGTATGCAGATGCTGGAGAGAGTTGTCATTTCAACCGCTTTCTCTGGAGTCTGACTGTTTGGGTTTAAATTCTGTCTCTGACAGTTCTTAATTGCCTGCTTGGAGATGCTATAACCTCTCTGTGACAATAGTACCTTCCTGGGTCGGTTGAGAAGATTAAATTAGTTAGCACAGGTTAAGTGCTTGGGATAGTCTTGGCATATAGTAAATGGCATCTTGGTGGTCTGGCTAAGGGACAAAGGAGAGAGATGGAAGAAGCTGTAGAAGGGGGAATCATGGAGCCATCATGAGCCTTTGTGTGCCACCAGGAGTTTGGATTTGGTTCCAAGAGCAGTGTGGGGCCATCGGAGGCAGTGCATTTTTTTTTTTTTTTTTTTTTTTATATAGAGGCATGTTATTTATTTATTTATTTGTTTGTTTGTTTGTTTGTTTTGTTTATACATGCACTGGGTACAGTCAGAAGCCGGGAGGGTGAGAGAATTCACCAGAGCCAGAGCGGGGAGCAGAGCAGGCAGAAGGACCGAAGTACACTGCTGAGGGGAGCAGCGGGTGGCAGGAGAGGTCTGCACGCCATGTGGGACCCTCCTCCGGTGGCCGGGGAGCAGCCGGGGATTGAACCGGTGTCTCAGAGGCCGCAGGCAGCTTCGCAACCCAGCGCTCAACCGCTGCGCCACCGGGGAGGCCCGGAGGCAGTGCATTTTGATAAAGGAGGATGCACAGGAATGTGGGGATCCAGGAGAGGCCCCTAGTCCAAACAGGGGGTCATGTATGCACAAGCACAGGGGTGTGTGTGTGTGTGTGTGTGTGCGTGCTATATGCGCAGGTGTGCAAACATGTACATGCTTATGCCTAGTGGCTTAGGTTGGACTGTGGCCAGAACCTTTCCCCTTTTCTGCAGGCTGTGGGTGAGTGTGGAGGATGCGCAGATGCACACCGTCACCATCTGGCTCACCGTGCGCCCTGATATGACGGTGGCTTCCCTCAAGGACATGGTGAGTGAAGTGCTCCCCATTTGGCCCCTGCCTCTATACTGCAGTCCTCCCTTCCCACTCTCCCTCTCTCCATGCCCCTTGCCAGGTATTCCTGGACTATGGCTTCCCACCAACCCTGCAGCAGTGGGTGATTGGGCAGCGCTTGGCCAGGGACCAGGAGACCCTGCACTCACACGGGGTACGGCGGAATGGGGACAGTGCCTACCTGTATCTGCTGTCTGCTCGCAACACCTCACTCAACCCTCAGGAGCTGCAGCGGGAGCGGCAGTTGCGGATGCTGGAAGGTGAGGTGCAGGCCCTGGGCACAAAGGGGCTTTGGGACCCTGAACTCAGCTGAAGTCTAGATGAGAGGGAGCAGGGCACAGGGGCTTTCAGTGAGGCCCAACCCTCCTCCCCCGCACCTCCCAGACCCTTATACAGAGTGGGGAAGAGAGGACAAAGGACACCTGGAGGCTATTTCAGAGTTTAAGAACAGCTGGCCCGGGGCAGAGGAACTGAGTTCAGCCCTGGCTCTGGCATTAATCAGCTGTGTGACTTTGTTTTGTTTTTTTTTTTTTTTAAAAGATTTATTTATTTATTTATACAAGCACTGGGTACAGTCAGAAGCGCAGGAGAGTGAAAGAATTCACCAGAGCCAGAGTGGGGAATAGAGCAGGCAGACTGACAAGTACACTGCTGAGGGGAGCAGCGGGCGGCAGGAGAGGTCTGTCACGCCATGTGGGACCCTCGCCCGGTGGGACCGGCGGCCGGCGCTGCAGAGGCTGCAGGCAGCTTCTCAACCCAGCGCTCAACCGCTGCGCCACCGGGGAGGCCCAGCTGGGTCACTTTGGATAAGTCCCTTCCTATCCCTGTTCCTCAGTTTTCCAAATCTGAAAATGGGGTAGGATGATGCTAATAGATAGTGTTTATGTTAAACTTTGTTCTTATTTTGAGATGTTTCCTACCTATAGACAGGTTGCAAAATTGCAGAATTCCCATGTCCGCTTCCTATGGAAGGCCCAAAGTATTAACATTTTTTACCAAAAGCTTTGCTTTTTTAACTCTTTCTGTGTAAAATTATTTATAAAAATTACTCATCTACCTGTACTTAACATATAACTTTATAGACATGTAAGTAATTTTTCTCTGAACTGTTTTAAGAGTAGATTGCAGACACTGTCCTGTAAATACTTGTATTTCCTTTAAAAAAACAGGGGATCATTTTCTTATATTAGCTCACATAACTACTATAGACAACACGAGACAGTTCTATTGTCTAACCTGCGGGTCTTACCCCCATTTCACCAGCTGCCTCACTGTCTGTTACAGCAGAGACCTGGTAGGCAGCCACCGTGCATGTACTTGCTGTCTCCTGAGTTCAGATAGAAGTCTGTTCTTTGGAGACCAGGAGTTTGTTTACTGCTCTGAACTCAGAGCCTAGAACAGTGCCTGACACATAGCAGAGGATTCATAAACAGGAGTTTAGTGAAAGGCTCATTTACAGGACACTTCTGGGTGCAAGCTGTGACTCCTGGGCTGTGCTCCCTCTTTCAATCTTTGGTTTCCTCTCAGCCTTCCCTTGACTTTCTGGTACTTGAAGAGTCCGGGCCAGTTTTTTTTTTTTTAATGTGATGGCTCCTTGTCAGTGAGTTCAGATTCAGTATTATGGTGGGAGCACCTCAGAAGTGTGTCCCTCTGGATCATCCCTTTAGGCTATAGGAGTACATTTTCAGCAGGGATTTTTAGCCTGGAGAACGCAGGAACAGACTTGGCTGGAGTAGACACTGACCCTGTGGGAGTCAGGATGCTCAGCCAGGCTGGGTCACCTGGCAGGACCCAGCTGAAGATAGCTCCAGGGAGGGAGAGGCCAAAAAGGAGGTTAGTGCAGGGGTTCCTAGCTGGCTTAGGCTGTGGCTCAGGCTGTGGAGGGGGTTGGCATCATGGATCCATCACCCCCTTCACCCTCCTCTGCAGATCTGGGCTTCAAGGACCTCACGCTGCAGTCACGGGGTCCCCTGGAGACTGGTCCACCGAAGCCTGGGGTCCCCCAGGAGCCAGGGCGGGGGCAGCCAGATGCTGTGCCTGAGCCCCCACCGGTAAGCCACCTCAGCATGCCCCTGACCCTTCCTGCCCTGCATCTCTGCTCACCACCCCTCTGCTCCCAGGTGGGCTGGCAGTGCCCCGGGTGCACCTTCATCAACAAGCCCACGCGGCCAGGCTGCGAGATGTGCTGCCGGGCACGGCCTGAGGCCTACCAAGTCCCGGCCTCATACCAGCCTGATGAGGAGGAGCGAGCACGTCTGGCCAGCGAGGAGGAGGCGCTGCGCCAGTACCAGCAGGTGGGCACCAAAGTCCCTGACCAGCAGCTGCACCCTGGAGGGGGCAGCTAGGCCAGGAAGGGAAGCCCCTTCCACTGCCTCTCCTCCCCCACTGCTGCTTTGCCCCCTGTGACCACAACACTGGCGGTGACTCTACTTGACTGACCACTCTTCTCCAGGAGACCCTGTTCCCTGGCCTTCCCCAGGCCCCTTCCCCCAAGGGGGCTGTGACTCTGCCCCTGACCTTGACACCAGTCTCTCTAGCAGTGACCTTAACTCCAACTGGCCACCCCCTCATCTGCCTGTGACCTACCTCCTGAGCCACCTGGCCATGACCTCACCCTGGACCCTACTACTTCTGACCCCACCTCCCTCTCTGGCTGCAGGCCATCCCCGACTTCCTGTGACCCAGGATACCCTTCACTCCCACCCCTCACTGCAATCTGGGAGGTTGACCCCGCCCTCTGTCTTGCCCCTCCTTTAGCCACACCCCCTATCCTGACACCTGCACTAATTACAGATCCCTCATCCTGAGTGTTGCCCTAATTTGATTGGCGGCCCCAACCACACCTGCATTCCCCTGGGAATCAGGGCTGCCCTTCCCACCCTCCCCCAACCAGGACCTTACTACTGTTCTCAAATGCTGCCCGGCTGCACCTGCCCCCTGCTCTGCTAGTTGTATCCTCACCCACCTCCCCACACCTGACACTGTGACCTTGATCCTGCTCCGCCTTCACCCCCTGATGCCAGCCCTACCCTGCTGATGTGGGCCTTCCCCACTCAGGCCCTGGCCCCATCTTTTTCTCTCACCATCGCGCCCTGGCCTCACTTGGCCCTTGGCTGCGGCCCTAAGCCCAGCCTGACTGCCTGGCTGCTTCCTGCCCAGTCTTCCCAACTTCCCCAAGTCTTCTGCTCCTGCCCACTGCCTAGCTGGCCCCTCCTCACCCCGGAATCACACCTGGGATCCTGACTCTCCTGGCTTGGCACATCCTGGTCTGATGGGTCCGGTGGTCCTGTTCCCTTTCTGGTCCCGCCTGCCCCTGAGACCCTCACCACCCCGTGGCCCCGTCCCCGTCTGCCCAGCGGAAGCAGCAGCAGCAGGAGGGGAACTACCTGCGGCACGTCCAGCTGGACCAGAGGAGCCTGGTGCTGAATGCTGAGCCCGCCGAGTGCCCCGTGTGCTACTCGGTGCTGGGGCCTGGTGAGGCGGTGGTGCTGCGTGAGTGTCTGCACATCTTCTGCAGGTGCGGCCCCCACCCCACCCCCGCCGCGCAGCCTTAGCACAGCGGCCCATTCCCAGGGCCGAGAGTGGGTGGGGCCTGTGCTCTTACATCTCTTTGGACCCCTACAAAAACCTGTGAGGTAGGCGCCTTCTCCCTGTATTTCTTCTTTTGTGAGGTACAGAGGCCTAGCAACTGCTCAAGGCCACACGGCTCAGGCATATACCTGAGCCACCACCTCCCAGACTGGAGCAAGGGTATGAGGCCTACCAAGACAGGCCCTGGCAGCCTGCCAACCCCACCCTCTACCTCGGTGGAGGGCAGTGTGCCTTCCTTTGAGGCTCCCTCCTGGCCTGTGTCTCTGTGCTGTTGAGACTGAGCCCTCCATGAGCCTAGCAGCATTTGCTGAGCTGCCCTGGGTGCCAGGGGCTGTGCGAGGCCTGGGGACCCAGGAGTAAACAGAAAGCTCAGTGTCCCCAAGAGGTTCCATTCCTGCATGGAGGCCAATGTTAATGACATAATCCTGACCTCCGCCTGTCGAATGCCAGGTGCCAGTGGGTTATGATCAGAACAATGGGCCCTGCTCCCAGGGCCAGGGTGCTCTGAGGGAAGCAGCACTCAAGCAGAGATCTGGTGTGAGTGTGTGCCTGGCCGAGCCGATTTGAGCAGGGGCTCGGGGAGCAGAGGGGTAGACAGAGGTTTGGGGGAGGAGTGAGTTTCCGGGGCACCTGCAGCCAGGGTTTTGGGTTTGTTCTGGGCAAGGCAGATGGAGGCCACTGGGGAGGGCTGTGCTGAGAGCAGACGAGGGGTCAGATGGATTGCCCGGAGCCTAGGAGGAGGCTGTGGCAGCCCTCCAGCCAAAGTTGATGGGAACCTGGACACTAGCGGTGAACATGATGGATGGACGGGAAGGTAGGGAGATATTAAGGAGACGCCTCTGGAGTCAGACTTTGCCAGGTGAGGGGTAGAGTCCCAGGGATGGGGTTCAGATGAACTAACCTCCACCCTCCACCCGCAGGGAGTGTCTGCAGGGCACCATCCGCAACAGCCAGGAGGCAGAGATCACCTGCCCTTTCATTGATACCAACTACTCATGCTCGAGCAAGCTGCAGGAGAGAGAGATCCGAGCGGTAAGGCCTGGGAGGGGGGCACCGGCCCCCTGGGCTGTTAGGTGGGAACGCTTCAGACGTCCATCTCAGGTGGCAAGGCTTTTACCCCCGTGTAGGGTGCGGGGGCCCAGGCTGTGAGCAGGACAGGAGTTAGGGGCACCCCTGTGGTAGAAAAACAGCAAAATGGTTAAGAGCCCTGTGCCCAGATGGCCGGGGTGACCTTAGGTATGGTGCTCAGCCTCTGGTCCTCAGCTTTCTCATCCGGGTTAGTTAGGGTCAGTTAGAGTTCATTTCTATTTCCAGGGTTTCAAAGATGATAGCAGCAGAGAAGTATGGAGAATTTCGAGTGATGTTGGACACAAGGCAGGCCCTGGCAGCAGTCTGCTGTGTGACAAACCACTCCTGACTTAGTGGCTTAAAACAACCGCTGCTTATTTATAGCTAGTGAATATGCTAATTAGTCACTTGAGTGGGCTGAGCTGGCAGATATCTCTGGTCCAGGCTGGCTGATCTCACCTGGGCTTAGCTGGTGGACCAGCTGCCTTGAACTGATTTATGATGATCTTGTGTGCGGTGGCTGGAATGGCTGGGGCCTCTTTCTTCTCTGGCCTCTCCTCGGCCAGCAAGCTGACCATTTCCTGTTCACATGGTAGTGACCGCACACTTCCAGGATCTAGTGCCAGCACGCACAGGGCAGCTTCACTATTGATTCAGGCAGATGGGTAAAGGAGAGTCCCAGAGCCCTCTGTGGGTTTTTTAGGTTTTAATGGTCTCTCAGGGAACCAGGTACACAAGGCAGCCAGGTAGGGAGGCTGGCATGCAAGGAGGCAGGCATGGGCTGGGCAGGGGGTGCTGGGAGCCAGGCTGACAACTGAGCCTCCCAGTTCCCTTCGAATCTTTATGCTCTTTCTCTGGTCTCTTTGGAATTTTCTCGCTCATCATAATGTGATCTCATCTGTCGTCACGCTGCTGTCCTCATACTGCTGCTGCTGCTTCTGTCCCGCCTCTAGGCCCAGGCATGCACACTGATGCATGCCCACACCCATGCTCCAGTGTCCACAATCAGCCATGCGTGCCCCGCGCCCACGCCCCCAGACACCTTCTGCATGAACATGATCAAGGCCACATGTGATGGCCACAGAGGCTAGTGGCGTAAAAAGCCTGATTGATTCATTTACCTTACACAGGAGCAGCCAGCAGGGAGCCGGGTGGAAGAGAGCTTTGCCAGTCTCTGCGCAGGTCTCGCTCGCGTCTCGCTCGCGGCTGTCCCATTGGCCAAAGCTAATCACATGCTCCAGAATCCATCCGGGAGACCCCTCCTCTGTGCCTGTGGAGTCAGGGAGACATGACTACGTTAGGGCCTTGGCGTTTGTCAGTGGCGGCCGCGTCTGCTTACTCGCTGGTGTCACTGTGCCAAGCGCCCTCCCTGACTGAGCGTGGTCTTGAGCAAGTCCTCTCCCTCCTCTGGGTCTTCATTTCCCCATCTGTAAAGTGGATTGTTGGACTTGGTTCTTGGGTTTTTAAACCATAGGGGAATGGCCTTTCCAGAATTGGAATTCTTAGGCCAAAACATGGAGGCAGGGCTGAAAGCGGCTGAGATCCTAATGGGGGACTCCTGCAGGCACATACACAGGACCCCGTTTCTTCCTAGCACTCCTCTCCCTCTCACGGCCCTCCTCCTGAGAAACCCGCTATTTCTGCAGCTCTCCACCTGCGGTGACGTGCAAGTGTTTCTTTTCACAAACCTTTCCCTTTGCCCAGCAGCAGCAGCAGCAGCTCTCCTGCCCACTGTGACTACGCAGCTGCCTCTTTTTCTTTTTCCTAATAAACCTGTCCTTTCTTTTTTTTTTTTTTTAGTCTACTTTTTTATTTTATTTATTTTTGGGGGGGGGGGTTTAAGATTTATTTATTTATTTATTTATACAAGCACTGGGTACAGTCAGAAGCGCGGGAGGGTGAGAGAATTCACCAGAGCCAGAGCAGGGAGCAGAGCAGGCAGAAGGACCACAGTACACTGCTGAGGGGAGCAGCGGGCGGCAGGAGAGGTCTGCGCGCCATGCGGGACCCTCCTCCTGTGGCCGGGGAGCAGCCAGGGATCGAACCGGTGCTGCAGAGGCTGCGGGCAGCTTCGCAACCCAGAGCTCAACCGCTGCACCACCGGGGAGGCCCAAACCTGTCCTTTCAAAACATTAAAAAAAGTGAAAAAAGAAACCTTCTATTTCAAGTATTTCCTGGGGCCTCAAAGGGGGGAAGAAGGGAAGCTGGAAGAGGTAGGGCCTGGGAGACGCCATCTGTGGCCCCAGGGCAGCCCCAAGCTCAGCTGTCTCTGTGGGGTATCCGAGAAGCCTGGCTCCGGATGGGGGCTGAGGCCTGTGTGCCCTGGCCGGGGGAGGCCCTAAGACATAGGTCTTCCCATGCTCTGCGGCACCCGCAGTCCTTGCCCCCACTTTCCCCCTGGAGTCCACCCTGCCTGGGGTCACTGTCAGGGGACCAGAGTTCACTCCAAGGGGCTGCGGGGCCAGGCTGCCCTGGGAGTTGACCCACGCTTCAGAGTGGTCAAGAGTGGCAGAGAAAGGGGCAGGGATCAGCAGAGTAACGCGGTGGATGTTGCTTTTACAAAAAACCTGCCTGAGCCACAGAGAGCCAGAGCAGAAGTCAAAGAAAAGTCACCAGTACCCCACCATCTTCCACGGCGTTTTCTCCTGCTTCCCTTGGTATCCCGGGGCAGATAGGATTTTTTCCTTTTTAAATCTAGTTTATTAAGGTGCACGCTACACACAGTTCCACACACCCACTGTGAGTGTGCAGTGAAGAATTGCAGAATCGAGGCGTGATTTCTACTTCATTGTGACCAGCATCAGTACGACCGCTTTTGCTGTTACACAGCAGACTCTTTCTAAAGATTATTTTTAAAGCTCAACGGCATCTATCCTGTTAATCCCTCTTCTCTCAGTAATTCCAGTTTCCCAGTGTCTTAGGGCTGCTTCAAGGAACACTTGGCCTGGTGTCTCTTCTTTCTTACATACTATTTTCTTAGGAAAAGCTCATAGAAAGGGAATGACCTTAGAATGTCAGAAAGCTTGAGTTGGTTAAACCTGTATTGCCACTGTTTCTCCGAGTAAGATGTGCCAGGCACTGGCATAACTACATATCTTTGTCCATTTTTTAAAATTGTGGTAAAATACACTTAACAAAATTCACCATTTAGCTATATTGGAGTGGAAAGTCCTGTGGCCTTAGTAGCATTCACACTGTTGTGCAGTCATGGCCACCATTCACGTCCAGGGCTTCCCCCTTTTATTTTTTTAAATATTCCTTTATTGTAAGATTTTTATTTATTTAGTGTAGAACTGGAGTGTAGGGCAGAGGTGGGGGGAGGCGGGGGAGGTGAGAGGATCCACCAGAGACAGAGCGGGGAACAGAACAGGCAGATGACTGAAATACACTGCTGAGGGGAGCAGCGGGCGAGACAGGAGAGGTCTGCAGCGCCATGTGGATCAGCAACCTGCCTGGGGATTGAACTCAGGCCATAGAGGTAGAAGTGCAGGGGCTTAACCCCTAGGCCACCAGGGAGGCCCAGTTCCCTCCTTTTAAATGGAATTTGTAAACACTGAGTGTGGTTGAAGAAAATAGGATGGGGCTTGGTTGGACTTGGTGGGTTGGAGGCAGGGGGCCATACTGAATCCAGGGCATCTAAGCGGTGGTCTGTCGGCAGCTCCTCCCCCCTGAGGATTACCAGCGTTTCCTGGACCTGGGCATCTCCATTGCTGAAAACCGCAGTGCCTTCAGCTACCACTGCAAGACCCCAGACTGCAAGGGATGGTGCTTCTTCGAGGATGATGTCAATGAGTTCACCTGCCCCGTGTGTTCCCACATTAACTGCCTGCTCTGCAAGGTGGGGCCTGCTGCCCTGGCACCCAGCTCGCTGCTGTTCAGGGCTTGCTCTACTGGGAATGAGGCTGTGGTCCTGACCTAACTGTCCTGATTCACCTGCACCTGCATCCTGCCCTGACCCTAGACTGAGCCCTCACCCCAGACAAAGCCACAGCCCACCTCTGAACCCAATTCCAGTCATAGAGCAGCCCAACCCTCACCCCAAACTGAGCGTCAACCCGTCCTGGACTGAGTCCTGGCCTTTACCTCAGGCTGACCTCCCTTACCTCAGGCTGACCTCCCTGCCCCCATCACCTCAGAGACTGGCTCTCAGTGAGCAGTCAGACCTGAACCTGGTCGCAGCCCAGGCACACTCCATCTCCACACATTAGGCTTAGCCATAGGGTGGCCTACAGCCTGGGAGAGGTCTAGGGGTTTCTGTACCCATCATTAAATAAGCATGTGTTGTTACTACTTAGTGTGACCTGACTTCACCTGCCTGGCCTAGGAGTCTTCTCCTGTAAAGTGGGCATCTGGTTTACAGAGCGAGCCCCTCAGCCACAGTATCCAGAGGCGTTCAGTGCTCGCTTGAATGGATGTCTGCTCAACTCTTGCATCTTCTCACCCCTGCAGGCCATTCACGAAAAGATGAACTGTAAGGAGTACCAGGACGACCTGGCCCTGCGGGCTCAGAATGATGTGGCTGCCCAGCAGACGACAGCGATGCTGAAGGTGAGGCTGGTTTGGGGCTTTGGGCTTCAGCTTCTGGCTTTGGGGGCTTCTCAGAAGGGAGAATCTTTGGAGAATCTCACCCCTGTTCTGCTACTGCCATCTAGACATGAGACTCAGGACAAGCGGTCAGGCGGGGGGCAGCGGGGACAGCATCTCAGTGGTGGGAGGAAACTAGAACCGAAGGCGAGGAGGCTGGATGGAGCCTGGCCGGGTGGAGAAGCATAGGGGTGACTCCGCTCTTCCCAAGGGGTGGACAGTGTCCTTCTTCAGTGCACAAGGGGCCGGGGGAGGGGCTAACGAGGCGGCTGCCCCATCCTGGCCCGGAGGTCAGCGTCTGCTCTGCTCCAGACCATGCTGCAGCAGGGCGAGGCCATGTACTGCCCGCAGTGCCAGATCGTGGTGCAGAAGAAGGACGGCTGCGACTGGATCCGCTGCACCGTCTGCCACACCGAGATCTGCTGGGTCACGAAGGGCCCCCGCTGGGGCCCAGGGGTGAGTCTCCAGGAGCAGAGGACTGGGGAGGGGCATGGGGAGGGCACTTGTGGGCCTTGCCCAAGAGCGGGGACTGGAAAAGTATAGCCCATGGGACAAATGTAACCCACCACCTATATTTGTACTAGAGTTACGGAAGCACTGCCAGCCTCGTTCACTGACACGCTTGCTGTGCTTGCTTTTGCACCACAAAGGCAGAGACTGGGCCGCAAAGCCTACAAGTGTCTGGCTCTCTGCAGAGAGAGGCTGCAGACCTGGGATCTGCAGGCCCAGGTGGAGGGATCCGCCGGCACATACATTGCTGCGTGATGAGGCTGTGCCCCGCTTTCTTCATCTGCAGAGAGAGTATGGAGGTGATAGCAGGGCCTGTCTCAGGCTGGTTGTCAGAATCAAGTGGAACAAAAATGCTAGCAGAGTGCTTAGCCGGGGCCTGTCCCTGGCGAGTGCTCTGCACGCGGTAGCTGACGTTATCCAGATCTGTTCTTGGACCTGGGGCTGCTGCTTGTTCTATGAGGGTGGATGCCAAGACAGGAAGAGGCAAAAAACCCAAAAAGACAGGAAGCGACAGAGGGAGCTGCCCTTTCCTGTGCTTCTGGTGTGCTGACCGGCCCAGGACATGCAGGTGGTCTCCCTGCTCCGGGTCTAGGTGTGGGAGACTGAGACCGTGTAATTGGGGGTGCTTTGGGAGCCCAGAAAGACCTTCATGACTGCCTGTGTCAGGTTTCTGAGGCTGGAAGGCCGTTCTTAGCAGGGGGACCCATCCGAACCAAGGCCCGGATAGGAGCAGGCGCTGCGTTGGGGCACTGTCTGCACTGCCCTGACCTTCTCTCCCTTCCGTCCCCTCCCTTTAGGGCCCAGGAGACACCAGTGGGGGCTGCCGCTGCCGCGTGAATGGGATTCCTTGCCACCCCAGCTGTCAGAACTGCCACTGAACTGAGGATATTCTGGTCCAGTTGAAACAGCCCCACCTCCGCCAGCTGCTGTGGGACGGGGCTGGTGCTTTGGCTGATTTCTGGCCTGTGAGAGGCCTTTGTGGTTGGCTAAGATGGGCCCAGTGGGGCCAAGCCCCTGGCTGCATGGACAGCCTTGTTTGTGAAGGATGTGCCCTGAATGGGCTGTTGCTTCAGTGCCTTGGTCCTTCCCTTGGGACTCGCCAGCCAGACCTCTCGTCTCTTCTGCGCCTCCCACCTCTGCCTGATTCAGCCTGAAATTCAGCCTGGCCAGAGGTCTTGCTGGATGGTACCTGAAGCCCTGTGTGAGTCCACGCTCCCACCACCCCTGCTTGCTGAGCGCTGATTTCTCACAGCCTACCACATACCCCGTCAGCTTTCTGGGGGTGACCCTTCCCGTCCTTTGCTCTTGGAGGCCTGGCCTCTTAGAATTGCTGCTAATTCTGTTCTGAGCCAGGAGGGAGACCTGGCAGTTTTTAAAGCACAGCCCATTAGGTCCAGCTTCTGTGTCTCCCTCTTTGCTGCCATAGTAAGGTAATTAAATGTTTTTCCAGGAAGGGCTGAGTGTCGTGTCTGTGAGAGGGAATGAGAGGGTCACAGGGTCGGACTACACACAGGCCGGATCCCAGACTCTGGGGATAGCAGCAGAACGTGGATCTATCAGCCATTTTCGATGGTGGGAAAAGAGTGTGACTGAGCACCGTGCATCCTTGTGCCAAATTTGCACCCGTGTGCCCGACTTGAGGGGCGGGATGCTCTTGGTTAACACTACCCTGCACAGGGAGAAGTTTGCAGCGTTACGTCCACAAAGCAAGGGCTCATCAATGAGCGTTAAGGGGGAGGGCGGACCTAGGCAGCAGCTGAGGCTTGCAGGAAAGCCTTGCTCCCTTCTGGCCTGTGAGTATGTAGAGTTGGGGAGCAGAAACACTGCAGAATGAGGGAAGCTGCTGCCGTTGAGCGGGGAGGTTGCCCATCCCAACTTTAACATCTCAGGTAAGACGCACAGCCCAGCAGGAACTCGGCGTAGTGCCCGGTCCATTCGTCCATTCTGTGTCTCGTCATTCTCTGACGTCCCCGCCCTTCCGCTGTTGAGAGCTGGTATTCGACGGTGAACACGTTGAGCGGTGATGGGAAGCATCCGGCAGGCCTGAGTGCCAGGGTCCAGAAGTTGGGGCATGTGGTCGGCTCTTGCATCAGCCCCTGGGAAAGCATTGCCACCCCCGAGGCCAGGCCTTGAAACAGCTGACCGCAGAGGGAGCAGAGGTGAGTGCCCTCCTGTCAGCACTGGCTCATGGCAGCTGGCAACTGTCACAGCTGATGAAGGGCAGCCCCAGGCCGCCTCCCCGGCCCTGGGAGTGAGAAGGGTCAGAACCGCTGAGGAGAGACAGCCGCTGAGGAGAGCTGGCTGCAAGAGTGAGGCCGAACCCAGCCTGGGGCAGACGCATTTCTCTTACCAGCTCTTCCCTCATCTTCAGGGTCTTTCTTGGCATCCCTTGAGGGCAGAGACTTACTACATTGGTATAGAGAGTGCAAACTGGCAAACCACAGGTTCGTTCACCCAATGCTGATGTCGAAATTTGAAGCAGTTGCCAACATTTTAAAATTGAGAGATGGGCCTCCCCGGTGGCGCAGTGGTTGAGCGCTGGGTTGCGAAGCTGCCCGCAGCCTCTGCAGCGCCGGTTCGATCCCCGGCTGCTCCCCGGCCTCCAGAGAAGGGTCCCACATGGCGCGCAGACCTATCCTGCCGCCCGCTGCTCCCCTCAGCAGTGTACCTCAATCTGCCTGCTCTACTCCCCGCCCTGGCTCTGGTGAATTCTCTCACCCTCCCGCGCTTCTGACTGTACCCAGTGCTTGCATAAACAAACAAACAAATAAATAAATAAATAAAACATGCCTCTATTAAAAAAAATAAATAAAATTGAGAGATGCTACAATAAAAACCTAGATGCCCAGCTTCTTTTTAAAACTCTTTAAAAAATGAGCCTGGGTGCTCGTTTCCACGCGGCAGGAGTGGAGTCGTCAAGCATTGTCTGTCTCTGCCATCCTCACCCCACCATGCTTTTCGGCGCCCTGGCATTGTTCTTTTCTAGTAAGTACCGGGAGGTGTTAATGAAGCATCTCTTCACCCTGGCCGTATGAAAGGTGAAGACGGGACAGCGGAGGGGGTATCTGGCCTTATGACTCGGCCACTCCATCTGCATCCACACGGGCAGCAAGTCTGTGTCCGCCACAAGCGGGGATACAGGACTGCCCTGGGTTCTAGCGTGCTTACTGTGCTCTGCTTAACATGCCAGCAGGGAAGGGTCTTAGATGGACAGGCTCACACGTGCTGTGTACTGAAGGGCCAAGGAGAGAGGCCACCCCCTCCCAAAGGGTCACCCCATGTCTAGACCCCAGGATTGAGAACCCAGTACCGACTCTCCGGGGAAAACGTGAAACCAAGCCGCAGCGGCCTTGAATGCTGAGCCGGGCTACAGCTATAACCTCAGGACAGCGGCCAGTAGAGGACAAGTCACTGTGGGTTTTCACCCACGTGTGCAATTGCAAGACCACTCAGGCTCAGGGAACAACAATGGGCTTTTTTTTTTTTTTTATTTATTTATACAAGCACTGGGTACAGTCAGAAGCGCGGGAGGGCGAGAGAATTCACCAGAGCCAGAGCGGGGAGCAGAGCAGGCAGAAGGACCGAAGTACACCGCTGAGGGGAGCAGCGGGCGGCAGGAGAGGTCTGCGCGCCATGCGGGACCCTCCTCCGGTGGCCGGGGAGCAGCCGGGGATCGAACCGGCGCTGCAGAGGCCGCAGGCAGCTTCGCAACCCAGCGCTCAACCACTGCGCCACCGGGGAGGCCCAACAACGGGCTTTAGTTAACAAATGGGAAGCAGTTTCTAAGGCCACACGTGGCCAGCTGTCTCACCCGGATAGTATGCAGTGTCCAGAAACGCCACCCGTTCAGGATGGCGCCGTCCCTTCAACGAGGGCCTGCTGCTTGTCGACTGCTGGATGCTTCTTCGGAGGCCAGGAAGTCTTTCTCAGGAGCAGAGTGAGTGCTAAGCTGGCTCCTCACCTGCCTTATAACCTCTTTCAGGGTGCCCCACCCACAGGTCTGATTGGCCCCCATCAATCAGCTCACAGCTTGCACGTGCTTGGTCCCACTGGTCTCTCTACTGCCCGCAGCTGGGTGCAGCCACAGGGGTGGAGCTGTCCCAGTAGGGCCCCAACCTCCTCCCTGCAGCCCTGAACCAGGGGGTGGGGCTAGCAGTTGCTTTCTATGCCACAGCTTGTGCTGGCCAGAGGGCAGCCTTAGCTCTGCAGCCCCACTGGGGCTGCATGCCCTGGGGCAGCATGGTAAAGGAACCAGTCACCCACCATCACTGTTGGCCTCTGCCTGCAGCCAGAGTCCCAGTGGGGCCTCCGGTGGTGGGCAGTAAATTGCCCATCCCCCACTGCCACTTGCACTGTCTGCAAGCAGCTTCGATTGCCAGGTGCACAAGAGCTGGTCTTACCCCACAGCTTGTGCTAAGGGGCCTGGAATTCAAAACCACCTACCCAAGGAAGAAGCAGGTGGTTGCAAATATATTTTGTGCCACAACCTTGTCACCAATGCAGGGAGAGCAGGGGAAGGTGACGGAAGGCCCCTGCTTGAAGAGCAGCTGCTGGTGGCAAGGGCAGAAGTGGAGGATGGGTCCCCCAGCCATGCCAGAGCTAACACGTGATTTCCTCTAGAGTTTGGGCCTGGCACAAAAGCCACTCGCTTAAAAAGCAGGGAGTTGGAGGCGAGCCCATGATCTTGTCTGCTCACAGACGGCTGGGCAAACTCCAACCATAAGTAAATCTGGAGAAAAGACTCTTAGTGAGTGAAAGGGCCTCTGTGAGGATGGGGGGAAAGGCAGCAGGAACCACCAGCAGAAAACAGACGGGATGTAGGACAGCAACAGGACAGAGACCACCTCTTGGCTGCATCTGGCAAAGCCCGTGGTGTACTCTTCCTTTCAGCCTTCACAGCGGAAGGCATTTCCAGAACGGCGTGTGAAAAAGTCAAGGTCACTCAGACTACTATACACACCACCTCGTGTGCCCATGGCCAGCGCGCTCAGGCAGCAGCAGGAGTGCACAGGTCATAAATTGCGCAGATGAAGTAGAAACAGGACTGCAAGACTTGCCCAAGCTCTCCAGGCAGATTAAGGCCAACCAAGAGCCCAGACCACAGCAGTCCTGGGTCGGGGTGGACAGGCGGGGAAGCAGCTAGGCCAGATGTCTAAAGAGCAGAGTTCACACCCAGCAAGGGGAGGACAAGGACAGAAGAGATTAGTAACCACATATGGCTGTTTATTTCATACAGGGCTCTGTACAAAATATTTACACATATTCTTTACAGAATAGTAAACCACCTGAAGGTAAAAGAGAATGCTTCTTTTCTCACTGGCAGAGGAGAATTCTGATGTCAGCAAAGCTGTAAAACAAAATGAACTTTCTCCTTAGGCCACAACAGAAGCAAATGCTACTTCCTTCATGGGATCTAAACAGCTGTGGCTCTGGGGCCCTATCACACACACCTCCTTTCCTCTTTCCCATCAGTTCCTTCAGTGTTTACAGACAGGCCGAGCGCCCGTGGCAGGCGGGGCCAGAGCGATTGTCCATGTGTACAGATGACAAGAGGACGCCCGTGCTGTGGGAGAAGAATGGGAATACCTGTCATAACATCACCTGTGAATCCTGGGAGAATTTCCTTTGTCTTAATGAATCTACCATTTTCTAGATGAATCCATCCACATCATAACCACCCCAGGTGGCACTCCTGCTGTGGAGAATGACCCATTATTTGGAGCTATTTTTGGTTTTAAAGTGCTTAATGTAACTTGGCATAGATACCTCTAACTGCTCCGGGCTAACCAGCTGCCTGGCACGCTAACTACACTCTGCATATGGTGGGCACGTGGAAAGGCTGTGGAGGTTTGGGTATGATGGGTGGAGTGCTTCTGGCATGTTCACCTTAAGAAAACTTATCTACCAAGAGAGAACAGTGCCCGAGAGAGACCAGGAAAATAAAAGTACATGGCTGCTTCATACTATACGCCCCAATTCTTTAAAGCAGCAAAAGGCACTTTTTTCAAGCCAGATTTAATCTAAAGCAAACCTGGCTTTGCTTACAAGAAAAGTCCCAGAAGGACTGAATGATCTGTCTTGTTCCCCGAAGCCTGCAGCGTCCCCGGGAAGCGTGGGACAGCGGGGCTGGCTGTTCCAGGCGTCTACCATGCTCTGCAGGCGGCAGTCTGTCCCATTCGGACAAGTTCCCATGACATTTCCAACTAGGAAGGAGAGACTAGCCATAAAGAAATCAATCAAGCCCAAGAAAAACAAAGCTGAGAAAGAGTGAATGGGTACCTGCATAGGAGTAGAGGGATGATGTGAAGAAAACAGTGAGGAAGGAAAGCTGGACGACAAGGGGTGCCTGGGGAGTGGAGTTTACGGATAGCAACTCTGGGTCCTGTGAGACGTGAAATAATTCAATAGAAAGAAAACTTTGGAATCTTAGAAGCTCATCCTTCTGTGAGAACTATCATTTTTTCAAGAAGGAACTATTATTTACTATTTATATGTTGGGTATATGTTATTCTAAAAACTAGCAATAAAAATGTCTTTTATAAGCAACACTGTATGGTTTGCAGAAAAGAATAGGGAACAAAAATAAATAAGCAGGCAAAACTAGTCTATGTCTGGGCCCTAAAAACTAATACTCCTTCCTGCTTCACTGGAAACGCCCAGTGACTTCTAGGCTGAACATACGTAGGATTTACCTAGTAACCTAGTTTACATCTGTTGCTTTGATTTCTGACCAGGAATACAGCTGCTCTAAAGTGAGGCTAATCTTGTTCCCAGGCTAACATCCTTGGCCCTCTTGCTTTCTTTTCAAGGTCTGACTTCTTTAGCAGCGGCTCTTCCCTTCTCTGTCCAGCTGAAGCAGACAGAACGCGAGGAGCTGAGAGGAGGGCACTCACGGTCCAGCTTACTAACTGCTGGGCAGTTAAGAAGTTCCCCAGTTACCCGGCCCAATGGGTACCAAAGGCTTCTGGAAGCTATTCCTCCAACACAAGAGGAGATAGGGGAGAGCCCACTGTCAGGGAGGAAGAAGTTATATGCCCACACACCCCCAAGTGCCTACTGTCAGGCAGGCTCTGCTATTGGCCTCTGAAGCAAAGGCAAACCATAGCCCGACAGGGAAGGGTGGTAGGAATAGAAAACCCTTGACAGAAACCCTTTTAATAAAGGAAATTCTACCCCCTCCCAATCCTTGCATGGAAGGGTGAGACCTTAATGCAATGTAAGAGGAAGTGTCTTTTCTGGCATTTAGGGAAACAGCTGTAGTTGGAACTTCGGGGCCCACTCCAGAGCACTTTTCACCACAGCCAGAGCAGCTGCTCCCAGCGCCACCGTCAGCCCCATCACTGCCAGCTTCACGAAACGGTTGGTCCTTGGTTTAGTCAGGACATCTTTTGTTCGATCCTCAGGTCGCAGAAGTCCCTGAAACCGCTGCCGCAGCACCATGTCAGGCCTCTGCTGGGCTGATGCCAGCTCAAAGTCTTTGAAGGTAGAAGCAGCTGTTCTGCAGAGGGAGAAGAGACAGAAAGAAGGAAATGCTATGAAAGAAGGAACTAGATTAAAGAGGCTAAGGGCAGAGTCATTCATTACTCAGTAAGCACTGCTTGATACAGACCCCTAAAGTCTAAAGTGGGGATTCCTTCCCCTTAGCCCTGTCCCCCAGCTGACACAATCTGCCATCACTGCTGCTCACTTACAGATACCTCTCACTCAACCAGGGCCTTCGCCTCACTTACTTCTTGGCTTCCTGTTGGGCAGCTGCCTCCCGGGCAAGTTCAGATGGGGGAAACTGAACAAAGAGGTCTCCTGCTCTACTGATCAGCGTCTCATAGGGCAGGTCCTGAGGAATCTGGGATAACAGGTGGTGGACCGAGGCCATGTCACAGTCACAATCCAGGACTTCCTGCTCTCGATACAACACGATCTGTGGGAGCAGAGTCTTATATCAGAGACCAGAACACACCAGGCCTTCTTACTGATGAATTCAAATTGGTAACAGACAGAGCTCACTCCAAATATTCAGCCAACTCTTATATCCATATAGGAATAATAATGTATAGCACCAATTATTTAAGAGTTTGTCCTTTCCCCGCTGTTTGCTAGAGCATATCTGAGTGTTTTTCTTACTGGGCTGCTACAGGCAAAGTGAAAGGCTGACCAATTAAATGAAGGCAATTCTTCTAGAAGGATGAAAAGGAGTAGGATTATGGAAGACTCCGGGAGCTTCCGCACAGAATAAATGGTTCCAAATAGTACAAAGAAAGGTTGTGTTCTCTTTAAGGAGTATTTGAAAGGTTCAGAACCATGAAATAAACAAATCTATTTAACTCTGTTTAACTGGCATTTCCCAAACTTATTTTACAGCAGTTTTTTCCAGACACTCCCATTAATATAGCAGAGAACCATGTCCAGGGACACCAGTCTGGGAAATGCTGCTTTTCACATCTTTCCACAATCAGAAGGAGGCCTCCCTTTATGGAAAAACAATCAGGCTGGACTAGGTGATGGTGAAGCTAGCTGCTGGCTCATGGCCTGTACCTACCACAGCTGCAAAGTAAATGGGCATCAGCGGGTGGCAGGCCAGGAAGAAGTCGTATAACCGCACTACATGCCTGAAGTCAGACAGGACGTGCCCAAACCAGGTGATGAGCCAGCTGAGGGCAAAGATGGTCCCCACTTCAGCACTGGAAGCAAGGAAATCCAGATGTTAGGTTCCCTGCTGAGATCCCTTCCTGAGGCTGCTTTTGTCCTCAATGCTGTGATAAGGAAACATTTGGGAAATACGTTCTCTAGAAAATTCAGCCACCTTCTCTTCACAAATTCAGCATTTTCTCTTCACAAATACAAAACACTTAAGTTGTACCCACCACGTGACACTAATATCTCAATAGGATCCTGGCTTCCTTATCTCACTGAGTGCTGCCTTATGGCCAACAATTGTCAATTACAAGAATAAAAAGTAACTTTCCAGAGAACTACACCAGGATTTTCTACCTAAGAAAGTCATTATGCTTTTCAGGAGCACAGGCATATATTCTCAGGCTGGAAAACACAACCGCATTAATTTTTCAGTTAACATGACACAACTAAAATACATTAAGACACTGCCATTATTTTTTTTTCTCTTTAAAAGTGAGGCATTGGTGGGCCTCCCTGGTGGCGCAGCGGTTGCGAAGCTGCCCGCAGCCTCTGCAACACCAGTTCAATCCTTGGCTGCTCCCCGGCCACTGGAGGAGGGTCCCGCATGGCGCGCAGACCTCTCCTGCCGCCCGCTGCTCCCCTCAGCAGTGTACTTCGGTCCTTCTGCCTGCTCTACTCCCCACTCTGGCTCTGGTGAATTCTCTTACCCTCCTGTGCTTCTGACTGTACCCGGTGCTTGTATAAATAAATAAATAAATCTTTAAAAAAAAAAAAAAAAAGTGAGGCATTGGTCAACTAAAGAGAGGAGGGAAAAGAAATATTGCTCCTCCTTCCATAAATGGCTCTGTCTTCCTTGCCTCTGGATTTTTTTTTTTTTTAAATAACTCTGACAAGTAGTCTATTTTTTTAAAAAAAAGATTTATTTATTTATTTATACAAGCACTGGGTAGAGTCAGAAGCGTGGGAGGGTGAGAGAATTCACCAGAGCCAGAGCGGGGAGCAGAGCAGGCAGACTGACGAAATACACTGCTGAGGGGAGCAGGGCGGGCAGGAGAGGTCTGTGGCCATGTGGGTCCCTCCTCCGGTGGCTGGGGAGCAGCCGGGGATTGAACCGGCGCAGCAGAGGCTGTGGGCAGCTTCGCAACCCAGCGCTCAACCGCTGCGCCACCGGGGAGGCCCCTTGCCTCTGGATTCTAAAGGACTTTTTACTTCTCTTTTTTTAAATTTTTTAAAAATTAAAATTTTTTTTTTTAAGATTTATTTATTTATTCATACAAGCACTAGGTACAGTCAGAAGTGCAGGAGGGTGAGAGGATTCTCCAGAGCCAGAGCGGGGAGCAGAACAGGTCTGCGTGCCATGTGGGACCCTCGCCGGTGGCTGGGGATCGAACTGGCGCTGCAGAGGCTATAGCAGCTTCGCAACCCAGTGCTCAACCGCTGCACCACCACGGGAGGCCTCTTTTTACTTCTCTTGTGGCGATAACCTTAAAGTCTACTTAGGCATGAGCTGTGACATTTCTTGTATCCCCCAAAAGAGCACAATACCTACAAAGTGCTCTAAAACTGTGTACAGAACTGAATTATCCAGATTGCTGGTAACAGGAGAAGACATCCCTGAAGAACTTAACACTAACACCATAAGATGATGAAGAAATCGAGCTAAATTTATGAGGAAATAAAGGTGAGAAGAAAGCTGAAGGGGTGTGTGTGCACACACACAAATATGACATATATGTACCTCTGCATGAAGTCATGGAGTTCTGGATTCACCTGGTCAATGATGGGCATCATATAGTTTAATATATGCCTGGTGTTGTCCATTGTTGGGTCCATGAAATCCCTAGAGGGAGACAGCTCAATAAGCAAAGTCAGACCTAACATTTAGACCAGGGGTGGGGGAGTGGAATGAGGCTCAAATTGAAACAATTGACTAGAAAATGGGCGGAGCAGTTAACCCAGGGGGGTCCTGAGGAGTGACCTCATGCTCTTTTGCTCCTCTGTACTGGTACCTTAGATGGTGGGTAGATAATTTTTCTACCAGGGATGTTGCCAGTCTCTCGCCTACTACCAGTAGAAATGTCACCACGATGTCATGGTAACCCTGGTAGTAGTGCAGCTGAGGGTTGCGCTCCAAGATGAGGAGGATGATATCAATCAGTTCTTCCTGGAGTCCTTCTCTCTCTTCATCTGGCATGCCTGGGGAAGGGAGAGGGTGGGAGGGGGATGGGTGCACTTGAACATGGCAAGCAGCCTAGTAATACAGAGGTTTGGAAGACAGTTGGCAATGGATTTTGAATAAAAGAATATTAGTTGCAAACAATTTTGGAAACACGTATCAAGATCGCGCAGCACTGATACCACCTGGCATATAGGAAAGAACCACAGATTAGCAATCTTACAGTGAGGGAACCTGTAGACAGGTCACTATCTTTCACATTGCTAGCAGTGTGACCATTTGACAAAATATGCCTCTAGATGTGCTCACTTAAAAGAACTGAACATCAGGTCTGTGGAATTCCAATCAAGAGTGCATAAATCTGGATCTAATAAGAAAATACCTGACAGAACCAAATTGACAGAATTTTGTAAAATAAATGGCTAATAATAATGTACAAAGGAACTATTCCAGGTTAAAGGAAGCTAAAGATATATGACTGAATGGGAAATATATAAATTTGTATTTCCTTTCCTTTAAAGTGCATTACAAGGATAAATCTGAATAAAAGCTGTAGATAAGTCTTTTTCAATGCTGGTACTATTTGTAAGTGTACTTGCAATTATGTAAGACCCTTGTTCTTAGGAAATACGCTTTGAAATATTTAGGGACAAATGGGTGCCATGTCTGTCATTTATTCTTAAACAGTTCTGAAAAAAATTACATGTGTGTATGGAGGAAAGAAAAGTAATAATAAAGTAAATATAACAAAATGTTAACATATAAAGAAATTTGGGGCTTTCCTGGTGGTGCAAGGGGTTAAGCACCACACTGTGAAGCAAATCCACAGCCTCTGCAGCACAAGTTCGATCCCTGGCTAGCCAGGGAGCAACCTACATAGTGAAGCAGACCTCTCCTGACTCGCCCGCTGCTCCTCTCAGCAGTGTATTTCAGTCAGTCTGCCTGTTCTGTTCCCCACGCTGTCTCTGGTGACTCCTCTCACCTCCCCGCATCTCTGGCCTGTACCCCAGCTCTTGTATGCATAAATAAATAAATCTTTGAAAAAAAACATATACAGAAATCTGAAGTAAAAGGTATCTGGGGAATTCTTTGTCCTATTCTGTAACTTTTCCATAGGTATAAAACTATACAAATACAAAATTTAACAGTTGTATGTTCCTTTCTAAAGCAAACTAAATATCACAGGAAAAACTTATCTTCTCGATCCAAAGATTCAGCTGGAAACAGGCCACCCTGTCCCCAGAGCTCGTTCAGCATATGCAGCTAGCTCTGGCTGTGGTCAGGGTGGCTCCTCAGCTCATCTGAATTTATAAAAAGGCCAAACATTGGCCTTGTGAACAGCTTTAGAATGGCACAAAGCATAGCCTTGCTATACTGTTAACTTTTCCAGTTAAAAACAAATATTGTGAGAGAAAACAGTTAATGTAAAGGCTCAGACTAAACTGAACAAAGGGCTTACGGTGAGAGCAAAGCTCCCACCAGTTCTCAAAAAGGTATACTTAAAAAAAGAAAAGTGCCATACTCTAAAAGATAAGATAAAAAAGAAAATGGGATAAAATAAGAACTATGTAGCTAAAGTAAAGTAATAAGAGACAAAAAAATTATATCCCGTTTGAATCTTTAGTATAAAGTGGTCAGCGAAGCTCAGAGGAACTTTAATGAAAAAGAATATGAAACTATATGGAAAGTTCAGCCTACAGAGAGAATATAACAGACTGATGTCACAAAAATGGAAGAGGAAGAAAGGACTCAGAGAGGAAGCAGGCCATCTAAGGAACAAATTTGGAGGCAACTGTCCTGTGATGTCCATTCCAGCAGGATAGGGCAAGGGGACTGACCATGGGCTTATATTTTTATCAAAACCAAAAGCCAGCAGGCCAATGGCTCCTCAGGAATCACAGAAGCCTCTCCAGGGAGCAAGGGTGCAATCAGGAAAGAAGGCCCTTTAATAGACAGAGTGCAAGCCAGAGCATAGTTTCAGAAGAGTGAAGCAACGGGTTTGAGGCTCTTGTTCCTTTTAGCAATTTTCCTCTCTTCATGCACCTAATGGTGGAGTTGTCAAAGGAAGAGAAAATGGAGACAACAGTCAATCTCATTCTTAGGGGAAGCAGAAAGGTAATTTTGGGAATAGACTCTAAACATGCAGAGAATGGCTTCTCTTCCAGTCCAAAGTATGTATGTGTAAGATACCACTATTTGTAAATCTAGTCAAATGAAGATATTAATAGTTCTAGTTAGGACCCACTTCTAAACCAACCTACTCTCTAAAGCCAGACTGATGACTCTAGCAATTTCTGTGAAGTCACTTCTATAGTTCTGAAGGGGGGAGAAAAACCTTTTCTCTCATTCACCATCTCTAGGTCAAGAGAAATCTCTGGCTCAGGATTTCCCAGTGAAGACCTGAATGTGGTGGAGTCAATGTAAGGCTAGCTCAGCAGACGGGGTGCCCAAGGGACCCTGAGGAGGCAGGGTCCGGTAGGTTGCTGGGATGGAAACTCCCTGGGACTAGCAAGCACCAACGCAAGAAAGTAAGTGCAGCTGGGACAGAAACCCTCCTATGACAAGACCAGGAGAGCTTCTCACCAGGAGGGAACCGCCGTAAAGACCGCCTGACGTCCAGTAGCACTTGTTGGTAGTCCTTGCTCATCTGTCGTAGATTCTTTCCTATCGGAGAAAAGGCAACATGTTACTGCAAGAATGTCTGGAAGCCAGACCAGGAGCAAAACACTCTGGTATGACACCCAAGCCTGGAGCACATGCTTCGGCTTTTTCTGGAAGAAGGTATGATTCACGTTACAACATCTGGAGAGGAATCTCTAGTTTTATTTTTTTTTTTTAATTTTTATTTTTTAAGATTTATTTTTATTTATTTATACAAGCACTGGGTACAGTCAGAAGTGTGGGAGGGTGAGAGAATTCACCAGAGCCAGAGAGTGGGGAGCAGAGCAGGCAGAAGGACCAAAGTACACTGCTGAGGGGAGCAGTGGGTGGCAGGAGAGGTCTGTGCGCCATGTGGGACCCTCCTCCAGTGGCTGGGGAGCAGCCGGGGATTGAACCAGCGCTGAAGAGGCTGTGGGCAGCTTCGCAACCCAGTGCTCAACCGCTGCGCCACCGGGGAGGCCCGGATCTCTAGTTTTAAACATGCTATTTCCTGCAAGTCATGATGACTGTAAAGGAGGAACACAGACTGTCTGGGAGGTAAGAGAGTGAGGTGGAAAAAGCAGCGGAGAAGTCAGGAAGACAGAGGCCAAGTGTAGGCAGCCGCTGTGTGCTGCTGGGGAAATGCTCGGAATTTCAAGGCCCACATCTATAAAATTCCCTATGTATTTCCCAGGTTACTGTAAGGATCATAAATATGGAAACCAGAGACCCCTGCAAGAACTCTATCATCTATAAAGTTAAGGAAATACGCCACTGTTCAGAGAGGAATATTAAGATAAACTCACATAAAGAAGAACCTAACCTCTGTTGACCCTGAAATTCTATAACTAAGGCCCTGCAAATAAGATAGTATTTGTGCTCAGCTGATAAGCCCCAACAGTATGAAAGAAAGAAGACTCTAGCTGTTACATGTGCAACAAGTGTACATTTCTCTCAGCCTAAAGCTAGTGTTACATAACAAGTAAACTTCCTTGCAACAGAAATCAAAAAATAGCAGAAGAACCTGTGTAATACTTGCCCCAACACAGACTTCATCTTATTAAAATGTGGGAAATTTGGAATCTGACAGAGGAACACCATTTAGAGTGTGAAGATGGCACTGCCTAGTCCTTCCAATAAAAAGCTAACTGCTCTGAGGGAGTTGGTGCCAAAGATAGTAAGTGGCAACTTACCACCTACATGGTTGCACTGCAACACTGAATGCTTTATTGGCAGGGGCTGTTTTAATCATGGCCAGTACCTACCACAAAGTAAGAGCACAGCTAGCATCTGTCAAATGAATGAAAGAATTCTAGCACCTGGACTTTTGTCCTATGTAGTAAAAAAGCAATAAATGTTTGTTGAGTGAGTGAAGGAATGACGAGTGGAGCCACTCCTCTACAGTACTTTCTTATGTATTTTGTACTGTATTCCAAGGAACTTTATTTCATGGGCCTTGCAGAAACAGTTAAGTAATGCCTTTTCATAGAATCACAGAATTTTAGAGTTCAAAAGGATCTTAGTATTTTGAATAAAAATATGGTTTTGTTTGTTTAAAGACCAAAAGTTTTGGGGGGTGGAGGGCGGGAGGGGAGGGATTGGGGTCAGAATGGGGGGGGTTGCAATTGTATGGGGAATATAAAAATAAAATTTATTATTTAAAAAAATAAAAAATAAAAAAAATAAAACTGGCATCATAAAAAAAAAAAAAAAAAGACCAAAAGTTGTAATCTCTCCCTATAACCTAATGTTTTTCCAAATGTAGACCAGCCACATCAGACTTAGGTGGGGTGCTTAATAAAACACTGACACCTACATCCTGTCTCTAGGTGAATTCTGACAGCAACATGCAGTTTTAATAAACTCCCTTACTTGCCAAGTTGGCCTTATTTTCAGAGTGGGTCCAAGCATATCCAAAAATGCTTCAGATATACTTATCCACTCTTGCAGAAATGGGTGAAAACAGTAAAAATTCTGGAAATGTTTTTTTTTTTTTCCCCTTATCTCCTGAACAGGCTTTCTTCACAGTACACACGCCCCTTACCTGATATAAGAGGTGGGTCATTGGTGTTGACATTGAGGAGCTTGGGCCATACTTTTTGCCTGATCTCATCAGTCAGGAGCCCGCCCTCACTGATAGCCATGCGCCTAAGGGCAGCCACATCTGTGGGATCACTGTTCAGAGCCTGGTTTATATCTGCTACTTTCTTCTTTCTTTTGGCATTAAAGTCTGCAAAACAAGGGGAGAAAAGGCATGAGGCACATACTTAGCATCTGTACATTTCCTGTTCAGGGCTCAATGTTCTTATTTGCGGTACAGGTAGATTTTTTTTTTAAATCATTCTGCTTTTCTTGTGTTTTTTTTTTTTTTTAAGATATATTTTTATTTATTTATGCATACAAGAACTGGATTATAGGCCAGAGGCGTGGGGGGTGGGGGGACAGGGGCAGTGAGAGGATTCACCAAGACAGAGTGGGGAGCACAACAGGCAAATCTACTGAACTACACTGATGAGGGGAGCAGCGGGTGAGACAGGAGAGGTCCGCTGCACCATGTGGGTTAGCTCCCTGGCAGGGGATCGAACTCAGGCCCTCATGGCGATAGCACTGAGACTTAACCCCTAGGCCACCAGGGAGGACCCAGGTAGCTATTTTTAAAGTGAACCTACAGATATTTAATTAGTAGACAAAATACAAACCACTAAGGAGAGATAAGCACTGAGCAATGAATTGCAGTTATAATAAATGCTCAATGAATTCAGGCATATCTAACAGTTACTATTAATATTTTTCTAACAGAATGATTTTGTTAATACCAAAGTTTATAAAGCATTCATATCTCTTAATAATATTTTCCGGGCCTCCCTGGTGGCGCAGCGGTTGAGCGCTGGGATGCGAAGCTGCCCCCGGCCTCTGCGGCACTGGTTCGATCCCCGGCTGCTCCCCGGCCACCGGAGGAGGATCCCACATGGCGCAGACCTCTCCTGCCGCCCGCTGCTCCCCTCAGCAGTGTACTTCGGTCCTTCTGCCTGCTCTGCTCCCCGCTCTGGCTCTGGTGAATTCTCTCACCCTCCCGCGCTTCTGACTCTACCCAGTGCATGTATAAACAAAACAAACAAACAAACAAACAAATAAATAAATAAATAAAAAACATGCCTCTATTAAAAAAAAATAATATTTTCCTATTGTTCACAGAGGAAAAATGTATGTCACCAAAATTCAGTAATACAGTTTTTTTTTTTTTTTTTTGGGACCCTCGCCGGCGGCCAGGGAACGAACCAGTGCTGCAGAGGCTGCAGGCACCACTGCGCCACCAGGGGAGGCCCAGTAATACAGTTTTTAAACAAAACCAAATGTGGAAAAGGTCTTCAGTTCATGCTAACATGACTGGTAAAATGGCAGAATCACAGCTATTTTCAAGAGCAGAACGCCAAAGGGTAAACTTACACTTCTAGTGTGGCTGGTAGTAACACAAAGCAACTGTTCTTTTATTGATTGATTGATTGATTGCAACGGTTTATTAACAGTTAATAAATAACTAGTGATCAGGAAGTAATATTTCAAGCATCTGATATCCTTATGTGATAGTTGCTATTTATATACTGGCCTTTAGTTGTGCTCAAATTACCTTTTAGGAAATTGGCTGAGAGTCTGTGACTGATTTCTATCACATAATTTTTCAATTTAGAATATTGGGGCAACAGGTTCCCAGGGTTTTCATGCAGAATTTCTAACTTTAGGCATGGCAAGCATAAGAAAAGTTAAATAAGACAACACCGAGGAGATGTTACAAAGCAGTGTACAGTAATTGCCCAAAAAAGGCATGTGCAGACAACAAGCGCTTCGAGACTGCTATGGGTCAGGCTGCTGAGATAGCATGACTGAAGAGTGCAATTTTAAAGGAAGTTCAGCAAGCTTTTGAGAGACTGGGTGGGAGGGAAGAGAGGAGGTTTCGGGACAAGAAACATAAGGCCCTTTCCCTTAACAGTAAATAGACTCATTCAAAAACATATCAGTAAATAGAAAACAGTATGATATAAAGTGGAAGATAACACGGGAAGGTAGGTTAGACTTTACAGAGGACTAGCACCAAAGTAGTAAGTTAGGCTTTAGAAGGGACTAACATCAGAAAGTAGATTAGGTCTTAAAAAGGGACACTAAAGGCTACCCGTAGTAATGTTCTATTCTGAAACAACAGCCTTCAAACTATTTCCATGACAAGCGGCACATTTCATCAGCATACATGAAAGCTGGCACCCATGATCCTGCCTACATACATATGACAGCTGTGCTGTCATATAAAGAAAGGTACAAGTTTGGAGTCATATGCAGTTGAGACAGACAGGAAAATAACAGAGGTGACTTTAAGCCCAGGTAAACCTGTTCTCCTGGCTAGACTGTTCTGTTATTTCCCCTGGTAACCTAGCAGGGTGACCATTTGTTCCAGTTTGTCTGAGAGATTCTTGGTTTACAACCACAGTCCTGGCATATTTGTTCCAAGCAAACCCCTCCGCTTTCTGCATTCTCAAAAATGTCTCAGTCTGGAGACAAAATTAAATTAATTTTGTCTGCATTAAATGGCTACATTACCTAGAATGAAGAAAAGTCAAGTTCTAATTCCTTCTTTCAGCATAGTACTTAACTAACTAAATGTTTGCTCACAAGGTGCTTCAAGCTCTTGGTGTGTATAAGTGTGGGTGCGTCATTTAATTTATGCACCCTCCCACCTACCATTATTCCATTCATTTATCAGTCTATTATTTAATAAGCATCTACTAGTACTAAGGATGTACTGGGGATAAAAAGATGACTACGACTTCCTCGTAGTCCTTGAGTTCACAATACGAAACAGAGAAGACTTAATACAGCATAGGCTAAGACAAAATATGAGCCGGATTTGAATTAATTTCCAACAACAAAAAAAAAATCTACCAGATATTTTACTTTTTTTTAAAGTTAGTGTGCCCTTGCACTTTTTATACATCACAAATTAAAAGCGCTTAAGTAGTTAATACTACTGCTTGTGGCAAGCTGATATTTAGAGAGCTTGTTAACCTGTTCGCTAAGACTAGAAAATTTTCCTCAATTTGTTTAGATATGGATCGACCCATGCCCCTCTTTCCAAGTTATTCAAAACCTAGGAGAAAAGAAAACTGTTGCTTATATTTTGGGGGAAATAACAGTTTGAAATCAGCTGGATTTCCATTAGATCTTAGCAAATAATATGTCAGAATTTTAACTAATTCTGAACCAAATCACAGCTACAATACTCCTTTTAACATTGCTGTGATTCCATTTTTAATCCTGTATTTCAAAGTTACTATCTTCTTTCTGTTGGCACTCTGTGGGAACTCAATAAATACATGCAGAAAGAAATAATTATTTACCTATTACTCTCTGGGAAAATTTGACCTATAGTAAATGACATTATTTTCCTCATATTTGTTTAACAAATATGCTTTAAATACTGCAAACTTGGATTTGTAGACTTTTTGTAGCTACTGGTGCTTTCCAGAGTAGAATGTTGCTCATATGTGGATTTTGGTGACTGCACATTCAGGCTGATCAAATGTTAATCGAAGATGAGGTCTAACATGCCCACATGTGTCCAAATTTTTTATTGCATCTAATGGATAAGCTCTTATTGTGACATAAAAAGAGAAGACAGAAAACTAAAGCTATATAAATTACAGGGTTAGCAGTTGGATCAAATAGCCAAATAATTTACACATATCCTCTTCATCTCAGAAAAAGCATAACTACCCTTGAGATGCTCTGAAGATTAAAATTAATGTTTACTATCTATTTTATCTTAAATTTTATATATGCATTCTGGAGTGGGATACACATTTCTGGACTTGAGAATGCTTATATTTGGGCTCAGGATAAAAGCACACATTTTAACTGAAAGTTGTATATATGAAATTCAAATCCCCCTGAATCCATTCTTCTTCAATTCCTTTACTGTTCCACGCATAAGAGAGATGTATTATATATTCCAGAGCTGGTACCTTCCAAGTTCTTTTATAGCAAAGGTCTTGGCTATCATAACCAAGACAGAATGAAATGACTATCCCACAGCTGGCTGCAAAATGACACTGCTATAAATAAATTTCTGATGCCTGAAAAGTAATTCATTCAACATAGGAAAAAGAACTGATACAGGCACTCAGTGCTTGGCAAGGTCTCCATTAAAACAATCATTTTAATAAGGGAAACTGAAATAGTTCTTAACAACGGATAAAAGTGGTTGAGTCCATTATTGTCTCAAACCTCTCCCAACTTTGGCTACAGAACCCAGGTAAAGAATTCTGCCTCCTCAGAGCAACAGGTACCTCCTAAAGCCCTGGCTTGGGGAAAAAAATAAAAGACCAAAGAGCACAAGCTCCCTTTAAAAGTTGTACCACATCAGTGAAATACCTATTAATGACTTATAGCAGGTAAATGATCTAATGGAATCTTATGTGAGTACAAAATCCCATACTGATTATTTGATTTAAGCTTGCATATTAAGACTTATAGTCTTTAGGACCTCCCTGGTGGCGCAGGGGTTAAAAACAGCGCTATCAAGCTATCACCAGCCACTGCAGCACAAGTTAGATCCCCAGCCTTCCCCAGCTGGTCAGGGAGCAATCCATATGCCGCAGCAGACCTCTTCTGACTCGCCTGCTGCTCCCCTCAGCAGTGTATTTCAGTAGATCTGCCTGTTCTGCTCCCCACTTTCTCTGGTGAATCCTCTCACCACCACCCCTTCACCTCTGGCCTGTACCCCAGTTCTTGTATACATAAATAAATAAATCTTAAAAAAAATAAAGACTTACAGTCTTTAAACAGAAGTCAAATGCAAACTAAGCAATGTTAGCCTTAATCAAAACAATGGAAAAGACTGTCAGAAACAGAGGGAGAGATTCCCTCAGATGTTCTTCTATCCCACCCCTTAAATTCCTTTGTTGACAGTAAAAATTAACAATTTAAACTTGAACCTCATATCTGTGTCAAAGAATGACAGTAGATGAGGAAAACCTTACTTTATTCTGATCTAAGGTTCCCACTAAAAACAAAAACAAAACAAAGTAGCCTCTGTTTTCTGAGGTCCCAACTCCTAATTAGTGCCAACAAACAGTATCCAAATTAGCAGATTCATTAACTACCTGGAACATAAAGACAAGCACATATTAAGACAAACTGTTTTACCCCAACAACAGAGAGCCATTCTAGAGAGCAAACCAATTTGATCAGAAACTCTATAAAGGAGGGCTTTGAGTTAACTATGCCAACAATTCTCCAATATGATTAAAAACAACACAAAAAAATTTTAAAAAGGAGAACCCTCCCCACCAAACTCTCATGTCTAAATTCCTTCCATTCACCCAAAGAAGCAAAATTAAGGAAACTGAGGGGGGAAAGTCCCGAAACCTAGGCACAGCATTGCAACAGGTCACAAGACTATATCTCTTGGGGCACTGACTATTAAGCCACGAGGACAGATGTCATACAAATGCCAGCAAAGGGTTACAATGTCAAAGGGCCTGTATTACTTAATATGAGGCGCGAGCACCATTTCCACCCAGGAGTGGGACCCAGGAAAAAGGGGATAACAGAAAATGAATCCAGAGAAAAACAAGATGTGGATAGCAGGTGCTTCATTAAAATATATGGGTTATGTGAATGTACGCTTGACCCTATTATGGGTACCACCTATGAGAAGATGGAAAAGTGGAAAAGTTACCTTAGTAAAAGGTAAAAAGATTATTTTACTTGGCACAGAGTAAACAATCATAATTTTAGCTATGCATTAATTGTATGTAAAACATATTTAAAAACATGCACAAAGAATCACTGTTTTATAGAAATTATTGCTTTGTGCGAAAAAATATAAAAACAGGAAGAATGGCTATTTACAGTTAAATGCATTAAAACAGGTGACAAAGGACTGAGGCAGAAAGTAGATCAGTGGTTGCCAGGAGCTGTGGAGACTGGGGAATGGGGAGTGGATGGGTTTTCTTTTGGGTGAGAAAGAAATGTTCTGTAATTACGAGCGGTGAGGGTCGCCCAACCTGTGAATGCCTAAGAAGCTCTGAATTGTGCACTTTATGGCAACGAAAAGAAATCGGTGGTACAAGTACACCGGGCAAATGAGACGGCGACGGATGAATGAAGTTTGACAAGCCTCCCTGACAGCCAGAGAGGCAGCGGCGGGGTTCGCGGACGTGGCGCGGCAGCGGGGCCGGGCTGGGACGGCCTCGGCTCTCGGAGACCCAACTCTGCTCGGACGCCACGGAGTCCGGGGGGAGCGAGAGCCCCCGCCCTCCTTCCGGGCAGGGACGCGGCGCGGCCACCACGGTCCCCCGGCTCCGCGGCATCCGCCGGCCCCCCCACTCCGGGCTCGCTTCCCCTTCAGACGTCAGCCGGGCCCGTCAGCCTTTCCTCTTCTGGTCCTGGCCCGGGGGCGCCCCGCGCAGCCCCCCTGGGCCCCCCAGCCCGCGCCCCGACCCCCCGGCACCCCCTGGGCGCGGGGCCGCTTCTCCGACCGCCGTCGCCGGCCCCTCTGGCCGCCCCGGCCGCCCCGGCCGCCCTCGCAGGTCGCTCCCCCGCGCCCGGCCGGCTTCCGTACCTGCTTTCTGCGCGTCTCGGGTCCAGCCGCTGGACGTGGAGGCGTCGTCCTGAGCACTCCGGAGACCCATGCTCCGGGGGCCCGGGCTCAGGCCCGAGCCCCGGCAGGTGGAGGAGCCGAGAGAAGACGAGGCTGCGGCCGCGGAGCCCAGCGCCGGCACCGCCGGGCAGGCTCGGTTCCGTCAGCCTGCGGCGCGCAGGCGTCCCCGCGCCAGCCCCGCCCCCGCGTCGGCACGTGACCTTTCGCTACGTAGGGGCCGGCGGCCGTCGCCGGGGCACGCGCGCAGGCGCCTTCAGCCCTGACTGGAGCCTGCCGGGAGCGCGCCCGGGAGTTAGCTGCGTTTGAACCTTAGAGTGCGGCGCTGTTGACCGAGGGTGTGGAGGACCAACGAGTACTGTCCTTTCGGGTGCCCTATAACACTTTCTTATGATTTTATCTGTAAGATGGCCCTGGTGGGAAGGAAAGGCCCGGCCCCCAGTTACTGGGAAGGGCTTGGAATACACCCAGCGTGCGGTAACTATTCCGGTATTACGCACTACTGGTGTTGCCTGCCAGGGATTTTACCTCATGTCTCACCTGCTCGAAAGTACTCGTCTTTGTCCTTGGCGAATTCAGGGCTAAGGGGAACCACACACCACAACGCCAGGAGGCATTATTCACGCAGCGATTATGTGAGCAGTGTGCCCTCTTTGATTCCACCCGGTCACTCCTATAAAATGAGCCATCAGGCTTGTGAGGTCTCGCATCTCGAGTGCTAATCTCTTCTCTCAAATATCACCCATTCCTTTCGTGGCACCCCCATCCTGGTGGCCCCAAACTGTCCCATCTCCCAAATCGCCAATGCCAGGGCCCTATAATGGAATGAAGTTTCCATTATTCTGGCTGCTGCACGACCCCCGACCATAAGTGTTTCATTTTCCTGAGACCTTCAGCCCACGGAAAGCCACTGCTATTTGCTCCTCTGGGTTTCATGCCCATCCTGAACCTTCAATCCAGGTTCCATGACCCACCATTACATTGTAAGTCCTTTTTAAAAAGTTTCTCTGGGGCCTCCCTGGTGGTGCAGCGGTTGAACACTGGGCTGCAAAGAGGCCCGCAGCCTCTGCAGCGCCAGTTAGATCCCTGGCTGCCGGCGAGGGTCCCACATGGAACGACAGACCTCTCCTGCCGCGCCCGCTGCTCCCCTCAGCGGTGTATTTCATCAGTCTGCCTGTTCTGTTCCCCGCTTTGGCTCTGGTGAATTCCCTCACCCTCCCGCGCTTCTGACTGTACCCAGTGCTTGTATAAATAAATAAATCTTTAAAAAAAAAAGTTTCTCTGGGTACCTTACAGGAGCAAAATTGATTACTCTGAAGGTAACCTGGTTTTTAGAACTAATATTCAATTTATTAAATTTCGAAATCCCAAACCTTGTTCTTAATTTCAACTGACAAATTTTACAGTTCACTCATAAATCTAGTAAACTTTAGCAATCACTTCTTTCATCCCATTAATATACTTGGTTAATTAAATTCCTTTGAAAATTTGAAACTGCAATTACAAATTAAATAATTCACTTCCTTTTTTTTTTTTTTTTTTTTTATAGAGGCATGCTTATTTATTTATTTGTTTTGCTTGTTTGTTTGTTTGTTTGTTTATACATGCACTGGGTACAGTCAGAAGCGTGGGAGGGTGAGAGAATTCACCAGAGCGGGAAGCAGAGCAGACAGAAGGACCGAAGTACACTGCTGAGGGGAGCAGCGGGCGGCAGGAGAGGTCTGCGCGCCATGTGGGACCCTCCTCCAGTGGCCGGGGAGCAGCCAGGGATCGAACTGGCGCCACAGAGGCTGCGGGCAGCTTTGCAACCCAGCGCTCAACCACTGCGCCACCGGGGAGGCCATCACTTCCTTTTTTTAAGTATTACAATTTTCTAACAAAACTGAGTCCTTATGTAATCCTTGTAAATGTAATAAACAAGCTTGTAAATACACTGAGTCATACATTTTAAAATGTCAATACAAACCTAGTATTATTTCAACATAAAATTTCAAGTCTAAGAAAACTGCAAGTCTATTTGTAACTAATGCATAAATGTTAAAATTCTCAAAATTATCTTAAATATGATAAGAATTTAAAGAATTACATTTACATAGATCCCTTAACACAAAAATGTTAACACCAAGAAACATTTCTGGTCTTTATTAAATCATAGTTGAAGTTAAAAGGCTAATTGGCCTGAAAAAAGAATTAAATTATCCCAATTTGGGTGGAACCATTTGGGGTACTTACTTCCTTTTCAGTTACTGTGCTCATCAGTGAATCTGTCCCTGCAACAGTGATGAGACGGTGACCCTTCCCCTCTCCATTACATTAGGACTAAGCAGTGTGTGGTTATTGTAGGCTTGGGTCAGCTGCTCTGTAAAACAAAGAAGTGACTGGTTCTCAGGGACAAGGGAGAAATGGTTAAGCTACTGTCAAGTGCTCAGCAAGGCAATGCACAAGGTGTCCCCAAACCCAGTTTCTGTCTCCAGATAGGTCCCTCGTTTTCTGGATAGCACATTACCAAACTGCATGTCATCATCCCAGAACTGTAACATGACAGCATGATAGGGAAAGCTGGTTATATTGCTTTATAATCATAATGGGGGTGGGAAGAGCACAAGGGAACATGGTGGAGCACATGGTGACACCTGAAAGGAGAAATCACTATGCCAAAACTAACAATAAGGAAAAAAAATACATTTAAAAATTAAAATAAAAAGCAACTAGTTTGGTGTGGGAAAAAAAGATGTTTGTGTTGTTTGAAGTTGTGAAATTTCTGCTATTTTGTTACACAGCCCAATGACTAAAAATCTCACCCAGGACAAGTTCAGGCAAAAAGGATTTATTAGTCTGGTTCTTCTGCATTGCCCTTCTCCCATCTGTCAGCTGTCCACCTCTTCATGTTAACTGCATTCTCCCATAGGCCTTGGGCTCATGACTCTGATACTTGCAGAATTTCTACATCCGATCCTTTGGAATACAGCAGCCCTCTTTGTCCCAGTAATTCCAAGAAAAGTCTTGATATTTCTCACTGGTTCTGTGTCCCCTGCCTAGGTTCTGAACCAATCACCTTGGCCACCACATGCTGATGGGCGAAGCCCTGCCCAAAACCCTGGAAGACAGTGGGAATAAGGCAGGAGAGATAAATCTTAGTAATTGCCCTAGGAATCATAACCAGTTTCCTTTCAAATAATAAATAGCCTGCTTCATAAATAGCATGAAAACCTTACAACAGTATATTCTCATTTCTTCCCTCTTCTTCTTTTTTTGTATTTTTAAGAAAAGATTTATTTATTTATGCATACAAGAACTGGGATATAGGCCAGAGGTGTAGGGGGTGAGAGGATTCACCAGAGACAGAGTGGGGAACAGAACAGGCAGACTGACTGAAATAAGGTGATGAAGGGAGCAGCAGGTGTTGTCAGGCGAGGTCTGTTGTGTCATGTGGATAGCTCCCTGGCCAGCTGAGGAATTCAACTAGTGCTGCAGAGGCCTCGGATAGCCTCATAATGCTGTGTTTAACCCCTTATGCCACCAGGGAGGCCCATTTCCTTCTTCTTCATGCTGTTGCCATACACTTTTCTTAAATCTGTCCTCCCTTTCTCCTATGCTTGCCAACCCCCACTCCTCCCCACCCATTTGCTGACAAACTACTTATCTACATTCTGTCACTAGAAATTTTAGTTTGCATTTTCTAGAATTTATATAGATGAATCATGTAGTATGTAGTTCTTTTTGTCTGGCTTTCACTCAGCATAAAGATTAATCCATGTAGTTGCATTATCAAGTTTCCTTTTACTGTTGAGTAACATTTCACCATAGTGCTGTATCATAACTCACTTATCTTTTGTTCTTACAGGTACTATCAATACAAAATTCATTGCTAATATTTTTGCTTCAGACCAGGGGTTAGCAAAGCATGGCCTGTCTGAAAATCAAAACCAGTCCACTGCCTGATTTTGGGTGGTTCATCAGCTAAGAACTGCTTTTACAATTTTAAGTGAAAAATAAAAATAAAAATATAACAAGTGTAGAATAATTTGTGGCATGAAAAATAAATTCAAATCTGAGTCTAAAAATATTTGTTGAAATAGTCATGCTCATTAATTTACTAATTGTCTAAGACTGCCTTCATAATACATTAGAGTTGAGTGGCTGCAATGGAGATCATATGACCCACAAAGCCTAAAATAGTTATTTGTTCCTTTAGTTTTTTGACCTCCTCCTTTAAACTTCATTTGTTTTTAAGGCAAAAAGAGTTATTTTAACTTATTCCAATCCTAGTTTGTCATTCCATAGATCCAAGTCTAGTACATTACATCTGCCTGAAGAACCTCCTTTAGTATTTCTTGTGAAGGAGTGACAATGCTTTTTGTCTAAGAATGGCTTTATCTTGCCTTCATTTAAAAGATATTTGCACAGGATACAGGATTCTGGGTTGACAGATTGTTTTTCTTCTTCAGCACTAAAGTCATTCCAGTATCTTGTTGCTTGTGTGGTTTCTGATAAATCTTTGCTTCCTCTATATATAATGTGTCATTTATTCCCCTGAGCTGCCTTTCAAGATTTCTGTTTTTTGTTTTAGCAATTTGAGTATGATATACCTAGTTTTATGTGTATAGATTTCCTCTCATATTCTTTGAGCTTCTTGGATTTGTGGCTTGGCATCTGTCCTTAATTTTGGGAACTTCCTAAGCTTTATTTCTGCAAGTATTTCTTTAGTTCTATTCTCTTTTCTGGGAATCTAACTACACATTAGATTGTTTGATATTGTCCCACCAGCTACGAGATGCTGGTTTTTGTTACTTCTTTCATTCTTTTCTGCCTTTGTGTTTTCAGTTTGGGTAATTTCTACTGATCATCTTCAAGTTAACTCATCCTTTCCTGGGCTGTGATGAGTCCACTGTTGAGCCCATGGAAGTAAATTTTCACCTGTTGAGTTTATTTTTTGCATGTTTAACATCTTTTTTCCTTAAGATTACACATCTGATCTTATCCCCCTTTGAATCTTTAGCATGTTATTTTAAATTCCTTATCAGATAGCTCCAATGTGTTGTATCTAAGTCTTAAGATTGTTTTGTCAATTGACAAAACAAAGTTTTCCTTTTGGTATGCTAAGTTTTGGTAAAAATTGGACATTTTGTGTAGAACAA